GCCCAAGTGGGCCGCCAGGCTGCCCATCGGTCGACAGCGGCGACTCAATAGTCGGGAGTCCTTGGACCGAACGTGCGAAGCCACCAAGCTCGGATAGTAGCACAGTAGTGATATCGCACATTATTGTTCGCATAGAATTGTTACGGGCCTCCTTCTGTGTAGGTACGGGGATGAATACCGGTCGCTCATCGTGTGCATCCTTTGAGTGCGGGGTGGTTTCTGGTGGAGTTATTGAGACGAGAGGCGGGGAGTCGAAGATGAGACAAACATGGTAGAGAGCGCGAGGATACTGGTTCCGAATGGGAGTGAGTTAGTCTGGAAGGTTTTGTGCCGGTGAGGTCTGTGATCCAAGACATGGAGTTTAAATACCAAGAACTTCAATTCCTCGAGCTGCGTAGAGAGAGCTTCTGAATCATTCTCTTCCATATGATCCGCTATCGCAATGACCAGGAACGTACGGCGGTAAAGCTCGAAACCCTCCAGATATTCATGTTCGCGATCAAACGATGTTGTGAGGTCGTAGACAATCTGACCGCTCGGAAAGCCTTGGGGACTGAACAATGCTACACATTACAGTATTTAGTTTCCTGAGTCCTCATCCATCCATCCATCTCCCAACGAAAGTGAAATAATCACATACTCCGGTTTGGCTTTGTGTCTGGAGTGACATCCCCGAGCCTCACCACATTTGAGCTCTGGAGGCGCTCTACAAAGTGGAGGAATCTAGACCGCTTGATCCTCCCGAGCGGACACAGTAGGGCCTTTATCCGGGACGGTGCTGTGTAGGAGAGTGAATCCAGACCCATGATGGAGGGACTTTGGGGATGTTTGGTGCTTCGTTTCGTCGTTATTTCGTTGTGATTGATTGCTGGATAAGGGGGGGGGGGGGGGGGTTGAGCTAGGTAGAGGTAGGGTAGGTAAGGTATGTAGTTAGGTATTCACATACGGTTTGGCACCATGCGGTGATTCTGGTGGCTTTGGATGACGGGATTTTCAGATCATTTGCGAGCGCATATCACCAGTGAATAAGAGAGATGGACAGAGTCGCTAGGATCGCGAATTGATTGCCACGGAGGTGCGTATAACTCACTCTGTGTTGTACTTTACATGAGAGTTGGCAGCCGCAATCTGTGGAATCGTTACCCTACTTTATGGGGAGGAATAAATAAATAGAGTTTGGATAATGAATTATCTGTATGTTTACAGGGGTTTTTGATATTGCAAGGCCCAGGGTGGGAGTTTATTTCAACAACTCAAACTACGGACGGATGATGAAGTAGGGAAGGTGGGGGAGTATTCTTAATTTAAACCGATCATAGGCGATCACTCGCCTTACTTAACGATAGTTAACCCGCCCAATTAATTATGTTTTTTCCTGCGCCTACTTCCTAAAAGCGCGGAGCTCCCTTTTCCTATAAATTCACACGCACCATCAGCCAAACAATCCCACACAAGAAATCAAAAGAACACTCGATACATACCACCAATCCGCGAAAGAGACCGTGTGCACCGGAATTCCAATATCCTTCAATGCCTTTGTTGAGAGGTGGCAATCATACGGTCTCACAACTAAAATACACCGTCAATACCTAAATCAAAGGATCGGACCTAAAGGTAGTGCGATGGCTTACCCGATGCATTGGGGTCGTTCGAGTCATTTCCGACCATGTGCTCCAAGGGAAGGCCATTGATCTCAGCCAGCAGCTGACAGATCTCATACTTGGTCATACGGTCCTCGGAGCTGAATTGGAGGATCCTGGGTAGAGAAGCAGGGTCTTCAGTGGTGTATTTGTCTGTGTGGCACGCGGAAATCAGTGACCGCCCGTAAAGTGGAAATGATTGCTACTCACTTGCAACGTCCTTCAGAACTCTCGCAACATCCGACGTGTTCCTACCAACCACCAACATTAACCATCAACACTCTCCACATCGTAGACCGAAACTGACTCACGTTGGGTATCTAATACTCCAGTGGTCCATCTCAATCTTCTCCTTTCCCTCCTTATTCCACACTGCATCCAAGAGCACGTTCACCGCACTCTCGGCATTCTTCTCAACTTCTCCGTAGAGGACCGGTACTCTCATGACAACCGCCAGATCCTTTCCGTTTGCCAACACCGCCTGCTCACCTGCGTGCTTGGTCTCACCGTAGAAGTTCGGCGGGTTAACGGGGGCATCGGCCTCGTAGGGAGCAGCGCCCTGTTTGCCGTCGAAGACGTAATCGGTGGAGATGTAGATCAAGAGGGTGTTACGGCTGTGGCATTCTTGTGCAAGACTGCTAGAAGCCTGAACCTAGAGGATGTTAGGAAGAAGGGTGACATGAGATGGAGGGGGGGGGGGTACATTGAGACGTTTCACGCCCTCGGGGTCAGCCAAGCACTTATCAGGAAAGCGTTCGGCAGCACCTGGGGGTTATTTAGTTAATTTATCCGGAGCCGAGGACTTGTAGAGATGGACATACAGTGGACGACAACCTTAGGCCTGAAGACAAAGGGATATTGTTAGCACATTCTTACCCAAACGGGAGTCACAACTACTAACTTGACATCATTCAGCAATTCCACAACCTCCTCGGCATTTCCCAAATCGACCTTTCTGATAGTTGGTGGCTTTGCGCGCGAAAAGCCTTTATTTCGAACAGTTAGCACATAGCTTTCCACTTTTGGTTTTCATGCTGTAGAACGAGTAGTCATACCGGTTCCAACAACGTTCCAACCGTCGGCCTCAAAAGCCTTGACGCATTGACGACCGAGCTGGCCAGTGGCTCCGGTGATAACGACGGTTTTCTCAGTAGAAGTCATTTTTGTTATTTTTTGTTTTCCGAAGATGAAGATGGAGCAGGTTTGTTCGTTTGAGGGGAAATAGGTATTTATTAATAGTACTCCAGTAGGTAATAGTTTCGGATCGGATAAACCTTTCGGGGCTGGGATGACGGGAGCCAAGGTTTTTCTGGTTACACTTGCGGGGTTTTGGCTCACCTGGGATCACTCGATGGGAGTTGTGGTTAGGGCTGTCATTTCCATGCCCATATATGCGGAATGCCTACTTACTGAGACTGAGTCGCTGGTAGCTGTGGGTTGGTATCAGGAATACTAGTGGATACATGTTGTGCAGAGAGCTATTTAAATAATATACAAGCAGCTGTTAAGTAGTATAAAAGAAATTCAGGTATCTAATATTAATCCCTAAAATGGATTTCATACTTCGCATTCTGGAAAGTCAATCCCAGAGATGGCAGGGCAGCAAGAACCTCGTCGCCCTCGCCATAAATATCCTCATGCACATCCACTTTCCAGAATATGGCCGGTATTGTAAACCTCAGATGACCTTTCAACTCTTTCTTGAGGGCGTCGTCAACTCTGGCCCTCATCCTTGGAGAGATTCTTCCCGCCTTGCTTCTCACCGCCTTCATGTCTGAGTCCTTGAGGATGCGGACGATACTGCGGTGTTTCGGCGGTGTTTCTACCTTCATCCACCACCGGCCATCCCACAATATCCACTCACTCACCCCCGGCCCTAGCACATACTCCTCCTCTTCCTTCTTCACTGGTGACAATGGCTCGCGGTTCAGCGTCCAGCTTTGTTCCCCATTATAAGTCCATGTCAAGCCCGCAGAAGTGAAAATAGGTATACGCTTATTGTTCTCTGTGCCCAGCACTTTCTCAAACGCATTTGTCATGTGCCTTGTCTCCACTCTGCGCCCTGGCGTTGCCTTCTCTGTAATGATGATCACAATTCTCTGAAGCACTGCAGGGTTAACGTCTTTAAACAGCTCCTCTCGATTCTTTGGGAACTTGAAGTCGAGCGAGCCAGTGCGCGCATTAAGGGTAATTTGACAGTGCTTGGCGATGAGGTCCTCTGCTTCTTCTTTTATAGAGCGATTACGGTCTTCGGCGCGGGTTGCGAGAGAGACTAGGGACTCGCGCTGGAGGGCACGGGGGAGGCGTGAGGGCGTTGTAGTGAGGAGATGGCGCATAGTATTGCGGCGGGTGTAGGTGGGGTCATGGTTTGTTTTGTCTTCGAACCACTTGACATCATTTGTCTCGCAGGTTGCTTGCAGACGGTCCTATACGTATGGAAGTTATCGGTATTATTATAAGCCGTGTAGACTTTCTGCAAAGTCGGACTAGAAAAACCATCGGTGAACAGGCCATATAGACCTACCTACCTTTCCCATAGTCAGGAACGGCCTCCCCACAATCACTTTATTCGCATCATATATATTCCAGCACTCTGGAATCCTCGAAAGATGCCTCATGCCCCCCAGCCCATCCATCCTACTCCCAGAGATCAACCTCATCATGACCGTCTCAGCCTGATCGTCACCATGGTGCGCGAGCAATATCTTATCCACCTCGCTCGTGACACACGCCTTGGCCAGCGCTCTGAATCTGGCAGTCCGCGCCCTTGTCTCAAACCCCACCTTTGCAATGTTATCCGCGCTCCAGGCCAGCGGTATCACCTGCGGGTGGAATCCGTATGACTTGAGGATGTCAGCAACGGAAGAGGCTTCCTGCGCGCTTTCGGGCCGTGCGCCGTGGTCAATGATAAAGGCGTGCACCTCGTGGATTTGCTTTTCTTCGAGGAGCTGTCGAGTGAGATGTGATAGTGCCATTGAGTCGACCCCGCCGCTGACGGCGAGGCCTAGGCGTTTGGGCACATCGGGCCAGAGGTTCTGCAAGAGGGATTTGTACTCGGGAAGCGATATCGGGAGAGCGCGGGGGGGCATGATTGGAGGGGAGGGGAGGGGAGGGGAGGGGAGGGGAGGGGAGGGGATTTGAGAGTTGTGAAATAAATTTCTTGGATCGAAGGCCAATGATGGGATGAGCAACTGCCGCCAAGGTCTCAGAGCCTCGCCGCTGTATGCACGTTAATTTCTGTGTCGAGCAGCGCCTATCTATACATATATCTCGTATCTACATAATCCGTGATATCTCCTCCCCTCTCCCCCACTTCCCCCCTCCCCCTCACCTGCCTCAATTCCGCCCCCTCAAGCCAAAATGGACTCCTCCTCCCAGCCCACGCCCACAACCTCCCCCTTCGTCCGCTCCCTCCTCGTAAGTCCCCACCCCACTTCCGCGCCCCCCCACTCACAACCCAGGCCGGAGGTCTCGCCGGCACCGCAGTAGACCTCTCCCTCTTCCCGCTCGACACGCTCAAAACCCGCCTCCAATCCGCCGGCGGCTTCTTCGCAAACGGCGGCTGGCACGGCGTCTACAAGGGAGTCGGCAGCGTCATCGCCGGGTCGGCGCCCGGCGCAGCCCTCTTCTTCGTCACCTACGAGGGCGTGAAAGCGCACCTGTCGCCCGACGGCAAGCCGGGCACCTCGACGCACCACATGATCGCGGCATCGCTCGGCGAGGTTGCGGCGTGCTCGGTGAGGGTGCCGACGGAGGTCGTAAAGCAGCGCGCGCAGGCGTCTCAGTTCCCAAGCTCGTGGGCGGCGCTGAGACACACGTTTACCGCCAATCAGAGCCCTGTGAGGATCTGGGCGGAACTGTACAGAGGGTGGGGCGTCACGGTCATGAGGGAGATCCCGTTCACGGTGATACAGTTCCCGCTGTGGGAGGCCATGAAGGAGTGGAGAGGGAGACAGAAGGGCAGGAGGTGCAATCCGGGAGAGAGTGCGGTCTTTGGGAGTGCCAGTGGTGCGGTTGCGGCAGCGCTGACAACACCGCTGGATGTGCTGAAGACAAGATTGATGTTGGCAAAAGAGGTATGTGTGGAGAGAGTGGGCGGGCAGTCTGCAGAGGGCGTGGGTGCTGATCGTGATGGTGAGTAGAAACAATCTGCGGTCTCGACGTTCAAGGGAATCGTCAGGGAAGAGGGAGTCTCAGCACTGTTCAAGGGGATCGGCCCAAGAGTTCTCTGGATCTCCATTGGAGGGGCTATCTTTCTGGGGGCCTTTGACTCTGCAAAGGTTGCCTTGGAAAGATTCTAGATCATTGATACCATTGCAGGTGGGAATAGAATAAGGTGCGTGAGTAAGGCGTGATTACGGTGGTCAATTCTTACGACATACACACGTAATAATAAGAGGCCGCCTAGTAGTATTCTTTGTAAATAGATATTATTATTGAGCATCGGGAATATAGGATACGATTGATAGCTGCGTGCCTTACACCCCATAAACAATCAAGAAAACTCTGAACGATCATAGGAAGCAGTCAGTTGAATTAACCCATTGAATTTAGCTTTCAAAAAATTGCCTTCTAGTTAATGAGTGGTACACAAAATAACGCCAAAATGACCCCCGGCTCGCATCGTAGGCTGGGCTCCACTAAGAAAGAAAAACCAAATACCTCCCAGGCCCTCCTCGCTCGACCTGGGACACCGACCGTCGCCGCCACCACCGAGAACTCCACTGACGCATCCTCTACCGGGCGCGGTTACGTTCCTGGGGATTGTAGCTGCAGAGACACCCATCTAGTCAGTCCTGTTCACCTCTCCCAAGACCCTATGTAAACATACCGTAGGAGCTTCTCAATCAAGTCGACGTGTGTCATGATCATTCTACGGCAGCAGTAGCGCTTGCAGCCGAGCTGGTCCATAGCATCACTGTTTATACAGCACAATTAGGTCTTGTCACTAGGGCGATAGTGAGGGAGGATGTAGGCGTACCCTTCAGTGACATTCTCCTCCAGAAGCTGGAGGTAGCGTTCCCAAAGATCTGCGACAACCTATGCCAGAGTGTTAGCTATTTCCCCACGAGCAAAAGACAAAGGCTGTAGACAGCAGAAGAGCGGACGTACCTTTCCGCACGAGAAGCAACGAATTGGGATAATCATATTTGCTAGTGTTGTTACAATTTGCGTGACGGAAAGATAGAAAGCGAGAGGGAGATCGCCGAGAGAGAGACAGACGGTGGTAAGGGAAAAAGAAGAGATGGTGCTGTGACTGAGATTGATTAAACGGACTGGGATACAAGTTGTGACTAATATACTGCGTTGTGACCTTGTAACCAATCTGCATGTGTGCTGTGACACGTCCGTGACCCACACCGCAACAGAAACACGCTAACCCATCTCAGACCGTCTGTCATCCAGAAAACCGCCGCATGCAAGTTGAGTTGAGAGAGAGCGCCAAGATTTCACACCCACGCTCTAAAAAAATTCCCTTCAGTCGTTCAAACCAATCTTTTTTTCCTCGCACAGGACTTTCCCTCTACAATCACAAAATCTCACAACCCCAGTCCCCCGCTCTTTAACCCCGCCATTACGGTTAGGTTTCTGCGCCCGACCTGCTCGAATTTCGCAAGTTATGACTTCCGACAAAAGGAAGAACGTAGCCGCAGGTGGTGGTGGGTCAAAGAGTTTGGCGTCCACCTCAACTGCTACTACTACAACTACACCAATTAATACCACAACCACGCCCACAAAGTCGGCAAGTAATAATGCGCCCGAGACCGTGTCAGAGGCAACCCCTACAAAGAAAGGCCGAAAGCAGGTGCGAAAAAACAAGCGGAAGGGAAAGTTGCAAGCTGCCAATGGTGTCGAACCCACCCCCACTACAGAGCAGCCCAAGGAATTGAAAAAGAAGAAGAAGAGCAAAAAGCCGCGAGAAGACGGACGAGAGGAGCCCGAAGGAACTGGAAGAGAGCTAGTGCAGCGCACCGAGGGTGTGTCTGAGAATTGGAAGTTGTCGCCTTCGCTGGGAGGAAGGTTCTTGATGCTGGATCCGGTGTTTGCTAGAGATGAAAAGTACGCCTTTCATCCCAACCTTGCTTACCGCCTGTTGTGTACTTTTTTTCAGTTATGTTATATGCGTGCTGATTCTTCTTGACTGTCCGCCGGTAAAGATATATCCTCCTCGCACATGCAAAGTCGTTGAAAATATACTCGACAAAGACCTCCCTCCTCGTCCGCAACATCCAGATCCCATTAATAAAGCCGACGGAAAGAATCATAGCATATCTCCTGGACTCCGTAAACGACAGCAGGGTCTACATTGCAACATCAAGCTCTCAATTGTTCCTGTGGAACTGGGTGGACGGGAAACTGTTCCAGAAGTGGAACCTGGGGCTCTCCTCAATTGGGCTCATTACTGTCTGCGCAGATGAGAAGCCAGATGCTGAGGCTGTGGGTGTTATCTATGCGACTGATGCCAGCGGAAAGAATGGATTTCTGTACAGACTTGAGCTGCCCAAAAACTCAAAAACTGAGATTAAGAAATCGATAATCTACAAAACACCCAATGGCGCAATTTCAGCCGCCCAGGTTCTCCTCGGGGGCACAATAGTTACGATTGCCTCGGAAAGGACTTTAATTATTGGAAATAAGCACACCGCAGAAGGTGTTGTGGATGAGAATGCTGAATGGGGGGTTTTCCGGAAATTCCCAATGACCTTTGTAGTGTCCTGCATGGACTCGTATATCCCAGCCGACGAGAGTAACAAGGGTAAATCAAAAAAGAACAAAAAGCCAAAGACTACTGCGGCAGGTGTGCTTGGAGATGTGGTTGTCGGAGACGAGAGCGGTTCCATGCACCTATTCCACAATGTCCTGCGACTCCGGGAAGAGAACAAGTCCGAACAGGACCAAGTTGTCAGAACCCTCCATTGGCATCGAAAGAAAGTCCGATCCGTTAAATGGGCTTCGAATGGTACATATCCCCCCGCAACCCCCTGAAACCCCCAAAATATTGACAAGACGATTTTCAGGTAATTATATCATTTCCGGAGGTTCGGAGACCGTATTAGTTATGTGGCAGGTTGAAACCGGACACAAGCAGTTCCTGCCTCATTTGGGCTCCATAATCGAGCGCCTTGTGGTCTCGCCCAAAGCAAACTCATATGCAATCCTCCTCTCCGACAACTCCATCATGGTGATCTCGACCGCCGAGCTGAAAGCCAAAACCAACATCGCCGGCATCCAATCCCGCTTGTTCTTGCCCACAGAAGCCCGCCAGTCCAGAGTTCCTTGCGTCTTCCACCCTACCACCGCGAACCGCCTGCTCCTCGCCACTCCTGCCTCTCAGATCGAAGGCAGCACTTCTTCACCCTACCTACAAACATTCGATACCTACTCTGACCGCCACGTCGCACGACAAGCCCTCACCCGCACCAACGCTACTAACTTCAACACAGGCCCCGAACAAGACTTTATCCTTGAGCCCAATGTCACCCTCATGGCCATCACTTCAGACGGGACCTGGCTCGCAACCATCGACGAATGGAAGCCCCCGCGGCGCAAGTCCGACGACGGCAGCAGCGAGTCACCAATCGTCGAGGATGAGGGTCACGGGCGTGAGATATACCTACGCTTCTGGAAGTGGACCGAGCAGAAGAAGGTCTGGGAGCTCGTCACCCGCGTGGACTCGCCGCACCCGTCGGCCAGCGGCTTAGGAGCGGAGGAAGTCTACGACCTGATAGCAGCGCCCAAGGGCCACGGGTTTGCGACAGTGGGCGCAGACGGGAGTGTCCGCATTTGGAAAGCCAAAGTGCGAACCCGGGCCGGCGGCATAGAAGTCAGGACCGCTGAGGGCGCACTCACATCCTGGGGCTGCAGAAGGGTCGTCATGTTCTCCAAGGGGCAGCGGGAGCTCGAGCTCTCCACCTCCACCCTCCTCGACGTCGAAGCCCCCACCAAGCCATCCAAGAAGGCCGCCGCCGCAGCAACACCCCCCTACTGGAGCCAACTCGCCTTCTCCGAAGACGGCTCCGTGATTGCCATCGCCACGCCCGTCGCCGGCCTCTCCTCTTCCAAAGAAGACACCACCCTCCACCTCGCCGACGCCAGCGCCGGCGCCGTCCGCCACACCATCAGCGGCCTCCAACTCGGCCTCGTCACCGGCCTCGGCATCCACGAGCGCCACCTCATCGTCCTCGGCACCTCCAAGCTCCTCGTCTACAACCTCGTCAACAGCAGCATCCACTACGAGTTCCCCCTCGAGACACTCAACGCCTCCTCTTCCGCCGGCGGGCACCTCGCCATCGACCACCACAGCGGCACCTTCGCCATCGCCGTGGCGCCGCGCAAGAACGGCGATAGGCACCGCGTGCTCGTCTTCAAGACGGACTCCGTCGCCCCCGTGCACGTGCAGGACGTCGGCCTCGCCGCCGTCACGGCGCTGAAGTCGTCCGAGGGCGGGAAGGGCTACATGGCGCTCGACGCGGAGGCGCGGATACAGTATATTTCGCCCGTCCTGGCGCCGCACGTGTCTGTTGCGCAGCAGGCGTCGTCGGCGGAGTTCAGTCTGGAGGACGCCGATGTCGAGGTGGCGACGGGGCTGTCGGGCGTGTATATGACGAATGGCGATGATGCGTCGCCTTCCGACAACGACGAGGAGATGGAGGCGGTGGATGCTGATGGCGACGAGGAGGAGGAGGATGGGGTTGTGGACCGGGTGGTGCCGCGGGAGGCGCTGGAGAGCGTGTTTGATGCGGTGCCGGCGTATGCGGCGGGGTCGGTGGAGGAGGCGTTTGAGAAGGTGCTGGCGCTGTTTGTGAAGAAACCGTTAGGGGCCGACGATGATAATGAGGAGGACGAGGAGGAGGAAGAGGAGGAAGAGGACGTGGATGTGGATGTGCAGATGGTTGCGGTGTAGAGGGCGGGGGTTTATTATTAAAAAAAGTTATATCTGTACATGTATCTATACTACGTCCGTGCTGATTTGGTCTTTGTCTTTGTCTTTCTTCTCTTTTTGGTCCTTTTTTTCTCTTTTTCCCCACACATCTTTATTTTGTAAGATATGCTATTTTACTCAAACGGTGGGGAAGACGGTGGTGGTGGTGGTGGTGGTGGTGTATTAGTGTGTTAGTGTGTGTGTGTGTTTGGTTTGTTGGAATACCTACTTATTTTTTTCTCTCTGTTCTGAGAGGACTGTGGCATGGCATGGCATGGCATGCATGGCTAGCTTTGTATTGTTATTTCGGAATATCTTTATTTTTGGCGGGAGAGCTAGCTGTGTGGTGTTGTTGGGGATGGATTGGGGGGGTGAATAGGAAAGCATCGTTTCAACAGGTTTATTTCGCGAGTGATGGGCTGTGCCAGAGACGAACCGTAGGCCGTGGTGAAGAGAGTGCTAGTTCCAGATCCAATTCTCTCTTTCTGGAGTCAATTAATTCCAATCTCAATCAGTCAATTAGATAGATACATCCAACTCCCATTGCGCATGTCTCGTCTCTTTCTTTCGCTCGCCAACAATCCAATTGTGCCTGATCTCCTCTCCTCCAACGAATGCAAGCTCAAGCCACCCAACGCATCCCAGCACACACAGCGCACCGCAGCAGCACCCAGTCCCAGTGAGTGCTACACCAGCGATATCTCGATAGCTCCATCACAGCACTCTCTCCACCCCCACCCCCCAATCTAATAAACAACCAACAACCCACCTGCCCACCTGCCCACCTGCCTGCCTGCCGACACCCACCACCAGCACAACAGACCACCCAATGACCACAAACTCTGCAACCGCCGGCTGGGAGCAGGTGGAAGACAAATACTACCGCAAGATCCTGCAGTACTCGTCGCTGTGGGACGCGGACTTTGATCTCTCGGACTACATTGTTGCCGGTGCGCCGTATGGGGGAGCTCTCGGTGAGTTGCACCGCATTCCGAAGAAGATGTAGAGAGAGGGGGGGTAGAAAAGTGGAGGGGGAGAGAGGTAGAGAGGTGGGGGAGAGAGAGGTAGATGCTAATAGAGCTTCTCAAAACAGCGCTGTACCGCGACGAGAACAAGCTGCAGACGTACCGTGGGCCGGCGCAGGCAAAGAGCGGGATTGATATCTACAGTTCTGCGGGGACGCTGATCCGGCGGATACCAGTATGGCCCCTCCTCCTCTCTTCCACCCAATCCCCCTCCTTTCTTCTCCCCCCTCGGTGATGAGTGTGGATATCGAGCTGACGGACTTCACAGTGGGACAAAGGCTCGATCCGCGGGCTGGGCTGGTCGGAGGACGAGAAGCTGCTTGTCATCACGGAGGACGGGACGGTACGGTGCTACTACGATCTGCAGGGCGACTTTACGCAGTTTACGCTCGGGAATGTTTGTGGAGCTCTCTCTTTCTCTATCTCTGTCTCTATCTAGCTATCTACCATCACGATACTCTCTCTATACACAGACTGACCCCCCCCCTCCCCCCCACAGGACGCCGAGACCATCGGCGTCGTCGAGTGCCGCTTCTGGTCCACCGGCTTCGTCGCCCTCCTCACCAACAACCGCCTCATCTCCGTCTCACGCTACGACGAGCCGCGCCCGCGCCTCCTCGCCGACCCCACGCCGCACATCCCCGCCAACTCGCGCATCCACTCGTGGGAGCTCGTGCCGCCGTCCTACACGCTCTCGCGGCACGTCGAGGTGTTCATCTCCACGGGCGCCACCATCCTCATCGTCGACGCGACCGAGGTGCAGGACCAGCTGCTGCAGAACGGGCCCTTCGTGCACATCGCCGTCTCGCCGAACGGAAAGTATGTGGCGCTGTGCACGGGCGAGGGCAAGGTCTGGGTCATCAAGGCCGACTTCCAGGACAAGCTGAGCGAGTACGACACGGAGATGGGTGCGGGCCAGCTGCCGCGCGCGCTGGAGTGGTGCGGGAACGACTCGGTGGTGCTGGCGTGGGCCGACGAGGTGCACATGATTGGGCCGCAGGGGGCCGCGCTGCGGCACTACTACGATGGATGGGTGCACCTGATACCGGAGATTGACGGTATCCGGCTGATCTCGACGGAGAAGTGCGAGTTTTTGCAGAAGGTGCCCGGTAAGGCCGCCCTCACTAGATATCTAGCTGTGGGACTGTGCTAACTAACTGACGGTGGTAGACGTCACGGAGGAGATCTTCAAGATCGGGGCGACGTCGCCGGCGTCGATACTGCTGGATGCGGTCGACCAGATTGAGCGGAAGTCGCCCAAGGCGGACGACAACATCCAGCTGATCCGCTCGCAGCTGCCGGAGGCTGTGGACGCCTGTGTGAAGGCTGCCGGGCACGAGTTCTCGCAGCACTGGCAGAAGCAATTGCTGAAGGCCGCCAGCTTTGGGAAGAGCGTGCTGGAGCTGTACAGCTCTGACGAGTTTGTCGAGATGTGCGAGACACTGCGGGTGCTCAATGCCGTCCGCTTCTACGATGTCGGGATGCCCATAACATATGAACAGTATGCTCCCTCTCTCCACCATCACAATATAATATCTCCAAGCTATATACTGACAATCGCAGATACCAGCGCCTCACGCCCGACAAACTCATCACCCGCCTGACCTCACGGCAGCAGCACCTCCTCGCCCTGCGCATCTCCGAATACCTCCGCCTCCCCACCGACAAGATCCACATCCACTGGGCCTGCCAAAAAGTCCGTCACTCCCAAGACGACGAAGACCTCATCTGCCGCACCGTCGTCGCCAAACTCACCGGCCTACGCGGCATCTCCTTCGAAGAGATCGCGCGCACCGCCTACGACGAAGGCCGCGGCCGCCTCGCCACCCAACTCCTCAACCACGAGCCGCGCGCCGGCCGCCAGGTGCCCCTCCTCCTGAGCATGGCCGAGGACGAGATCGCACTCGACAAGGCCATCGAGAGCGGCGACACCGACCTCGTCTTCTACGTGCTGCTCATCCTCAAGAAGAAGCTCGCGCTCGCCGCCTTCTTCCGCCTCATCAACGACCGGCCCGTCGCCGCCTCGCTCATCGAGGCCTCCGCGCGCGAGACGGACCCCGAGCTGCTCAAAGACTTCTACTACGCCGACGACCGTCGGAGCGACGGCGCGTACGTCGTCCTGCGCGACGCCCTCGCGCAGAAAGAGCTCTCCACCAAGATCGAGAAGACCAAGCTCGCGGCCAAGCTGCTGGCCGACTCCAAGGAGCATGCGCTCGAGTCGCGGAGCCTCGACGAGTCCGCGCGGCTGCTGCAGATGCAGGAGGTGTTTGAGAAGGATCTTGCGGGCGAGCGGTTCGCGGGGGAGAGTGTCAATGAGACGGTGTTTCGGCTGATCCGCATGGGGTACAACAGCCGGGCGAACAAGGTCAAGAGCGAGTTCAAGGTCCCCGAGAAGCGCTTCTGGTGGCTGAAGCTGCGGGCGCTGGTGGCCAAGCGGGACTGGGGCGAGATTGAGGAGTGGGGGCGGACGAAGAAGAGTCCGATTGGGTGGGAGGTTTGTTTTCTCTCCCCCTTCCTTCTACTACTATCATAAAGAAGCACCACTACAGAAGCACATACTAACGGCAGGTGGATGTGAGTGACAGCCCTTCTTCAACGAGTGCCTCTCCGCAGGCAACACCAAGGCCGCCGCAAACTTCATCCCCAAATGCACCAACCTCGCGCCCGCCGACCGCATGGACATGTGGGTGCGCTGCGGGCTCGTCGTCAAGGCCGGCGAGGAGGCCTTCCGCGCCAAGGACGTCAATGCCCTCGAGGTGCTGCGCACAAAGGCCACGGGCGTGCATGCGCTGGAGATTGAGCGGCTGCTGAAGCAGCTGAGGCCTGGCAAGTAGTGGTGGTAGTAGTGGTGGTGGTGGTGGTTGAGTGTGGACCTTTTTTTTTTTAAATGAGGATATGAATTTGATGTGTATGTAGAGTTGATAACTTTTTTTTTTTTTTTTTTTTTTTGCTTGCTTGTGTGATTGCAGTGGGCGGGCGGTTTTTCTTGTAATGCGGTGGTGGTTGGGAGGAGGGAGGGGGGGAGGGGGGAGGTAATGGAGCTGGAGCTGTTGGTTGGACTGTTGGGCTGTTGGTTGGCGTGCCGGGACGGAATCATGTTTTATCACTCATGTGTAGTTATTTAGCAATTTTATCATTTCCACCTTCCACCACATTCCCAAGTAGCGTGTGAGGTGAGCGTAAGAGCAAAAAGAAGTAAAGTCAACATAACGAGGTATTGGCAACAGTAGAATACAGAGCGCACACCAGTATAACAATGGACTTCCCGCAGTAGAACACCAGACATCTTCTCACTCCTACAACCCCCCCCCCCCCCCCCCTTCTCTCTCCCAAACCATACCAGAGCACACAACACAAAAACCAAAGCACAAAAAAACCCATTAATCTCATTAAAAAAAAAAAAGCTACCCTACCCCCTACCCTCCCCCATCCTCCCCCCTCCCACCGTCCCCTACTGCTGCCCCCCACCCCGTCCACCCCGTCCACCGCCACCGCGTCCCCCCCTTCCACCACGATGGTTCCCCCCCCTACCCTGATACCCGCCGCGGCCACCAGTCTGTCCGCCGCCGCCGCCGCGCGGCCCATGGTTGTCGCGCGTGTTCTGCGCTTGCGTTTCTTTGACGAGGTCGATTATCTCGTCGGGGACGCGGAGGTATTTAATCTGCTGCCACGTTAGATCATCCATGGGAGTATTCGAGGGTAGGGGAAGGGGGGAGATATACGTTATTCCCGCGAACATAGCACTCTGCGAGACGGAAGAACTTATCGCCTTCCTGTACACCGTTAGCACCCATCCATACCACCCACCACCGCTACCACCCACCAGATAGAAAGAGCAGAGAAGCAACATACAGGACTCGTCTGCACCACCTCCTTCAGCGTCAGATTCATCCACGTGTCGCAGTTGACGAGATGGCCGTTCAGCGTCTCGCCGTTCTTGAGCTCGACGAGCATCGGGTGGCCCTGCGCCGTGTTGAGGAGTGATAGTGGGAGCTGCGCCTGTGCGTTAGTTTGTCTGCCTATATTGGATTGGAGTAGGGCCCCCGGGGGGGGGGGGACATACCATGGTTGTGGGTGTGTATGATGTAGTGGTGGTGGGTGCGGTGTGCTGGGTTGGTTGTGAGTGGGGTGTGGTGGGGTGTGAGGTTGGGTGGTGGGGCTTGGCGTGAGGTAGGGGTGTTGCTGGTGGCCTGGATTGGGGGGATTGGAGGATTGGGGGATTGAAGACGGGTTTTTTTTTATTGTATTTCATGGACAAGTGCGGTGAAGGGAATGGGAGGGAGTTCCAGTGAACTGTGGTATCAGAATTGGGTTTGGCTATTTACTACTCGACATTGGGTAGTGCAGAATAAAAAAGGGACTTTCGATGCTTGACCCTTGCATGCTCGACCGATCATTACCACTCACTACCACTAGCAGTACTACCACAATACAATGCCTAGAAGAACCAATGTAGAGCATACGTTATACCCCAACAGAGAAAACCAGTGCACTCAATTGCGCGCTATATGTACATTATCCTGCCTTCTTTTATTGAGATCTAACACGAATATTTTACAAAGGTCCCAAGTCAGCTTAAATACAAACACTACAAAGCCTCTTCGCCTTCCTTCTCTTTCTCCGCACCCTCCTTCTTCCCCTCCGGCTTTGGGAACACCATTGGCTTATGCCTCTTCAGATACGCGCCCATGTTCGTGACCAGCACCGCCAGCCTCTCACTCTCCGCCTCCAACCACGGCGACAGCTCCGACCCAGCCAGCACACTCTTCGCCTGCAGCAGCGCCTCCAGCACCACATTGTAGCCCTTAATCAGCTGCAAGGTGTTATAATATGAATTCTTCACCTGCGTCATCGACTGCCTATCCTCATACTCCACCATCCTGGGCTCAAAATCCACCTGCCCCCACGCGGCCTTCAACTTCAGCGCAACCTCACTCGTAACGTCCTTCAACCACTCCTCATTCTTAAACTGCAGCGCCGCATCCGAGCGCATCCACAGGAGGCCTCCCAGGACAATCGGGTCGTCGCAATACCTCGTCGCCGACTCCGGCTCCAGCGTCAGCTCCCTCTTACCCACAATATCCAGGAGCACCGCGCCATCCCTGAGGCCCTTCATGATACCCGCAATCTCCGACTTCATGTGGCGCTCCCTGAGCGCCATCATGAAGTCGCGAGCCAGCCTGCGCTGGAAGCGGAAGTCGATCTCGTCCGCGGAGCGCGCAATGTCCATGAGGATGTCGACGCGGCCGACGCGGATGAGGTGGCGGACCATGCGGTGGAGGAAGGTGCTGCTGAGGGCGCCATTGGCCTGATAGTAGCCGCGGATGAGCTCGGGGATGATAGCATAGTCAGACTTCTCGGACATGAGGCCGAGGGCCTGCTTGAACTTGCTGACAGGGGCGCCGAGGTTGTTGGGCTTGGGGGTTAGAGTGTAGGGCTCGCCGTCGAGGACGATGTTGACCGGGTCCGAGAGGAGGCGGGCATGGTTTTGGGGGCGGGTGACGAGGCGGTAGTATTCCTGGGGGAGGTGGGGAGGGATGAAGTAGTTCTCGCGGAGGTCTCGGAGAAGTTCGTCGAGCTTTTCGTTGGACGTTGGGGGGAATTTGGGCACAGGTCCTGGCAGAGGTTAGTTATTTCTAGCACAATATATAAATTAAAGGAGGAATTGGGGGGGGCCTACGAGTGTCTCGCTGGGCAGATCGGGTGGTGGTGAAAGTCCGGAGAGGGCTGCTCAACTGGGTTGATAGCAATTGCGGGCTGTTTCTGAAGCCGAGGGTCCGGCGGAGGAGAGTCTGCATGGCGGCCATTGCGTCCTCTTATTCAGTGTATATATTCCTGCAGGAGTCTTATACTCGAGTCGGCCAATGTCAATCTGAGGTTTCTCGCCGTCTATTCTCGTTGCCCGCTCAGTCTCTGGCGGGGTGAGGCCGAGTGCAATTGAATTTTTAGTTGATGTTCGTTGTCTTGGCACCCCGCCAAATGTTTTCCCCTGCACGCCCCAAACTACAACACCAAACGACGAACGCCCAAAGACATCACCACTTCTGCCTGTCTGCCCGTCCACAGCATAGCATAGCAGAGCTTCCCCCCAGAAGAAAATCCGCAGCTATGATGTCTGGCCCATCATCCCTGCGCTCAATGGCCTCGTGCTGGACGTCACTCACCCAGTCCCTCAAGGTCCCCACCCTCCTCAAGCCCACGCTCCTCACCACAACCTTCACCCGGAACTTCATCGTCGGCACGTCTCTCCCCTCCCCCCACACTCACCACCACTACTAACACCTCCACAGCCCCCAAGCGCGAAAAGCGACGCATAAAGATCCACCCGCCCATCAAAGGCCCCCCCAAGAACCCGCTGCAGGCCCTGACCACCCAGGCCCTGCAGACGCTCGACCCCAACGGCACACGCCAAAAGATCTTCTCGCGCCACAACAAGGACAGCATTCGCCCTGGCGACATCGTTCAAGTACGGCGCCGCAACGGCGACCCCTTCTCTGGCGTGCTTCTCAACATCCGCCGGCGCGGCGTCGACAGCGCATTTCTGCTCAGGGACCACTTGACGAGGGTGGGTGTGGAGATGTGGTTCAAGCTGTACAGCCCCGCAATCGAGGACATTGATCTGGTACAGAGGAAGGCGAAGAGGGCGAGAAGGGCGAAGTTGTACTACATGAGGCAGCCCAAACATGACTTTGGGTCTGTGGCGAATGTGGTTAGGGAGTACACGAGACGTGTTAGGCCGACACAGAGGCAGAGGAAGTAAGGGGTTGGTTGGTGTGGGTGTGTATATATAACTGTAACTTGAAGGGGAAAAAATCCCGGATTTGAAACTTTGGCTGGCTGTGTGTGATATGTGGGCTGCTTTGAGGCGGATTTTTATACGGTATTCTTGTGGTTGGCTGTGCTTTTGGCAGAATCTGGATCCAATACTTTCTGCTATATATCGGGATCTGGAGGCGACTGGAAACCGAAATATGACTCGAAGGTCACTTTATAGTGATTGATCAATTGGCGAAGATTTCGAGTGTGTAGTACGAAGCCTCTAGCAAGTTTCCGAGCTGCCAGATAGACGAGTGAGAGTTTATGATTCTCATGTCACCGACACCATCTTCGACCACTAGGCCCAGAACCACAAAACAAGTTTACCAGTCCAATTGCATATACGCTGTAGGAAGACTCAATAGACAATAGGATGGACGGTTCTATTACGAAGGAGGATGAAAGCCTATCTACTTAAACATAGAAAGATGATAAGTCTAGTTAGGCTCGACTGTGGACACCGTTACTGAGACCACCTTGCATACACTGGCCAGTTTACTTCCCCACATCTGGGTAAGGGAGAACAACATACATGTGCCCATGATCGAACCTTACCACCCAGCGACACAGAGTTACATCAAGATCCAAAGGTGGAGCATCCAATACGACCTAGGACCTCATATCATAAACCTACCCCACTGGGACCAAAACAGCCACTCCGCCTCTGCTACATGTAGCTACACGCGTCGTGACATCGAGTTCTAACTCAAGGGTGTTCTGAAGCGTCAATCGCATGTGCACACGATGCATACAGACAAGACTACACCACTGACAATACACACAGCGTACCCTGGTGAGACAAGACGCCAAGAACGAGTGATATCGTGTGAACAAAACATTTCTCGCCATTGGGTCGTCCACTCATAGGTTTGGGACTTCTGAATGTAAATCAGAGAGGTCGAGAGAAGATACTATAGGTAGTTTGAAATTGTTTAGTAAAACTCTTATTGTGTCTCGGCACTTAGTACCATCACGCTGTGCATATGTGCCCCAATTAGTATATCTACAATAGACAAATTAAAGGCATGTATATCGGCGTTTTGGATGTAGGGTGCAGCTCGGGACCCCACAAAATCCGGCCACGCTAAGAGACTCCCCACCATTGCGCTACCACGCACCCTATCAATCCACAAGGGCCCGTTTGGCTACATGCAACAACCGTGGTTTTCTAGTTACATAGTGGTTAATCTCCGTTTCCCTAAATTCAAGTTCTAGACTATTCCAGTTGTGGTTTCTCTGGATTATTCTCCTGTTCGGCTGCCAAAGGTTTTTTTTAGGTTTTTTAGTGGTTGACAGTGCTAGTGGTTAACGTTGGAACGAATTTTGGAAAAACAGCTCTGGGGGCCGGGTGATTCTTCAAATTGGTGTTTATTCGATAATCCAGACGTGTTATTGTAACATTTGCTACCGAATAGATGTATCCCATACCGAACCCCCATCAGGATGAAGAGCCAAAGCCCTCAAACCCAATCCGCTACCAGAACTGGTATGTATGGTCTTTCTGCGCCCCAAGTCAACCCCCAGAGGTGTTCTATCTCTTAGTTTTAGTTTTGGGGGTACGTGCTTCGTTTTGACTACACTGCGGCGCAGTTGGCAATGGCTTGATGGCTTCCCGGTTTTGCAGCTCCGATACTGACGAGTTTAATGATGGACACGAGACTCAAATATGTCCCGAGTGATTCCAAATGATTCAAAGTAAGTTTCCCTCATCCCCACTGTACTTCTTTTGATTGACTAAAAACCGGGTGTGCGCTTTGGCCTTGAATTCAATCTACATTGTTTCCAAGCATTTCTGGTCCCCCGTTTACTTTAAGACGACATTAACCAACGATGAAAAGCTAGATTTATATACCTCAAATATAGATTGAGCCTAGCTTATATCATTCTCGAGATTTGTCTCGAGACTTACCTCAGGTCTCGAGACTTTCAAGTAATAATCTCCCCAAACGCATTCGGTGTTTTGGTGATGGTCGTTGACCACGGCTCTCTTCCACCTGGACGGGGGCGGGAAGGGTCAAACACGTTCTTTCGAACATGTACTCCCGCGTCACACGACCATGCGAGAGGATGGCGGAACGGGAGTAACACAACTCTTGTTGCAGCATTTCAAAAGACCGCTCGGGGTCGACTCCCGGCGTGGCCGGAAGCTCATACGCTGTTGTCGATTCATTTCCAACGCTGTGATACACTCCGAAGTACGATTAGACGCATGGCATATACTTTTGCTGCCGGATTGGGTTTTTGGTTTTTGACGCTAGGCTTCTCCCAGTCAGTGAATGTGTTATTGGGGGTAGGACGGGACGAGACAGGACAAGACAAGATAAAACGATCTCGTCTTGTCTCGTCCATGATCATTAGGCCACGAGTTACGCCGACCTTGTCTCCAGTACCATAGACAAAACTAGGGGTTTCTAATAGAGTATCTCCATCTGGCTACGTAGAGTAGAAGATATACCGGCACGAAGCGTCGTGCTGCATCCACTTGGTCATTACCAGCTGTCAGAAGTTAAAGTATGGGAGTCAGCTATCATAGGTCGCTACGTATTGGCAGCATGTCAAGTGCCGATAAATCGTGTCAGCATACGGCAGACAGAAAAGTACGTACAACCCAGGGACCTCTTGAATTGATGAGTAAACCGTAGTAACAAATTATCTCCCTCTCCTCTGATTTTCTTCAAACATGTACTACATACGTATGTATTCTACAAGCAATTTGAGTCAATGGCGAAATAAGCGTAACAGCGAGCATGTGTTTGTCAATCAATCAACCAAGAAAATACATATCACTTCTCTTTTGGTTAATCAATACCCCTTGTCTATCGAATATTTTTTTTGGTACCCTTCCGATTCGTTCCCGACAAAATTGACCAATTGTTTAAACACTTCCTGGATATGGCGAGGAAGCCAATCTTTTAGTTTGCATAAACTATATCATTTCCGATGGGGCCAAAGCGGTAACGTGCGCTCACAAATCCTATCGTATCTGTTATTTGCTGTGCTTGATGCAAGTCCCGAAGGCATCTCTGGTTCGGCGGAGATGTGATATCGTAAACGGCATTGTGACATCTTGAAAACGTTGCGAGCACCCCTTGCAGAGGCCATGGATCATGGCCATGTGTCGATACCGCATAAATTATAAAACGACGTCGCCAATCGGTCGAGTGACATCTCGTGAGGATTACTTAATCACACCCCACAATCCGCTATTCGCGATTTTTCTCTCTGCAACACCACAGCTATCCAACCCCACCAATCTCCACATAACCAATAATGGCCCTCCGAGTTCCCGGAACCTCATTGCTCTCGTGGGGAAGCCCCCTCAGCCGGCGGGTACTTCTTCCTACTTGCAGTCGGCAGTTCACCTCGACCGCCAATACCGCGCTTCCGCTCCCAGCGGCACTCAAGGTGTCTGCGTCGTCGCCGTCCAAGGTCGCCGGAAGGAAGAGGGCGCGGTATCAATTCCGCCCGCCGCGATTCTACAGGGGTCCGTTCTCACCCGTACAGCCTCCCAAGCCGTCGGCGCCTAACTCGAGGTTGTTCGTGCCTGGGCCATTTACTTCTGAGCGTAGGTCCTACTCCGTTCACAGTCCTGAAAGCGCACAATTGGAATTGGGATTGGGATAATTAAAATCGTCTGGCGTGGGGGTATCACAGGTCTCCAGGATCATTACTACACAACTATAGCTCCGGACCTTTTGACAATGACATATGTTCACTTGCCAAAGGGATACCAGCCCCGCGACTACTCGTTCCGTCACCGAGAGTGGGACGATTCATCCCCGTACCATGCCGGACGTGGGACCCGCCCACCGCCTGGGAGGACGGCGCTCTATCCGGCGCCCCGGCCTCGTACGCACCGAAATCTGCCAAAGCTGACTGGTATCACAGTGCATACGATGGTACGTGATGCGCTGAAAGATTCGGCGTTCCTTCATGCGGCTGGTATGGTGGTGCAGAGCATCACTGGTGCGAGGGCAAGCGTGCATTACTCCAAGGTCAACATTGCCGCCTTTGAGTTGCGTGCGCAGAAGGCGTGTGCGGTTACGAGCACCGTCAAGGGGCCGCTGGCGTATAGATTTATGAGCTCCTTGATCGATGTTGTGTTGCCAAGGATAAAGGATTACGATGGTGTGTCGATGAAGTCTGGAGACTCAACGGGAAACATCAGTTTTGGATTTACACCTGAGGCTGTTTCTCTTTTCCCCGAGATTGAAGGTGGGAATTCCATTTCCACAGTGTTTGGGCCATCGAATGATGATCAAACTGCTGACTTGACGCAGTAAATTATGATATGTACCCCCCAAGAATGGTTCCAGGTTTGCATGTGACTGTCCACACCTCTGCAAAGACCGATCGGGATGCAAAGCTACTTCTCATGTCGATGGGAGTACCTTTCACCACTAAAGGGAAGTCAAAGAAGAAATAAACGACGTACAAGGTGGTAAGAATGTTCATATTTCTTTGCATTTTTAGGTACTGTGTTTCGGGGCACGGATATTGTATTATAGGGGGGGATAGACTAGCCCGTGAAAAATTCAGTCCAGACCCAACGAGCCAACTATGTATTTCTCTCAAGCTTCTGGGATTTCGAGTGATTCTGTATGATCGAATAGAAAGGTACAAAACACGGTATTGATGCTGACCGACCGAATAAACCCGTTATTCCGGATGGAACAAAGCAACAAAAAGGATAAATGTATAGAAATGGGGTTGGAGAATTCTGGATTTTAAGGAAAGGATGATTATTAGTCTTAGATCACTGGTGGCCGAACAGCTAATAGTCAATTCTGTTTCGCCTGATTCAATAAAATGTATATTTGCACTATGCCGGTGTGTATCGCCTTCTATAACGCCATTACTCCTTACCGCTTTCCCATAGAGGTAATCATCTCTTGGTGTACGGATCTATCCCTCTGTGCCTCTGTCAAGGAGTTGATACCTACAGTAGGTCCATGTTAGCTATTCCCATAACCAGCAACATTGGAAAGAAGATATGCATACTCCTAAGGTCACCAACAACATCTTTCGCCTTCCCAAAGTAAACTTCCTGGAGCAAGTTTCTCATCTTGAGCTCCATATCCTCTACCAACTTGCCGATATTAGCGATGTGCGAGGAATCGTCATCGACCGGCAAGTTCTGTTCGATCTGTCGAGTCATGTTACCGGAAAGATCCATCTCGCCCAAGGATTCATCGCCGTTGATCATATTTAGAATGACGGTAGAGGTGAGCTTATATTGGGCTGTCCGAGCTCTATCGGTTGCCTCAAAAACGTGAATAGAATCCCAGGAACCGGTGGACTTGTTTGATGGTGAAACAGCTGTGCCCGGATTAGCTTGAGCAACGTTTGAAATGTAGTCCAAGATGGCAAATTACATTTTTTCAAAAGAACAACGCCGGCAAAGCCATCATCCAAGTTCCAGAAGTAAACGCTTGAGACCCCACCCTCGTAGTATCTATGCCGCCCCTGTCAGCTTCACCTGGACCAAGAATTTCGTTCGAATATAGCTTACAGCTCACGATAGATATCGAAGGCATCGTTAGCAGCGATTTCCATCTTTCGGACCTTCTCACTGGGGAGAGTTCCATCGGTCAAAGGCGGATCAAACTCGTTGCTCCATGGGGACCTGTATGAATCTCCATCACGGTTGTAATCACAGAGGAGATAGTCCCGTCCAGTCTTTTTACAACGTTGAACTTGAAGCGGTTGATCGACGGAAGAAAGAAGCTCTTCGGTAAGGTCGGGAACCAGATTTATCAATGCGTTGACATTGTTGGCCGTGTGTTTAGGGTTAAGACGGCGGAGGAGATCGCTATAGTAGTCGTCAGCAAGTTATGGTTCAATTACAGAACTTTAGTAATAACCTACAGGGCTGAATCAAATGGGTCCGGGGAAGACATTGAGCTTGTTTTTGAAAAATAAAGAGTTGAATAGGAGTTGTTGATTACGGGGCGGGGAGCTACAGATAGGTGGGGTGTAGGGACACGTGCAGGGTGCTTGGCAGGTTGCAGCAACGACATTGGAGCTTTTTGGCTCCCTAAATTATGGAAAGCTACACATCCATCGCGAACGCTCAATAACTAAATCTCCACGAGCTCCAACAACAGCTCGGATCTTATATGTCTTCTCTGGGTCCCTCGCTTACTGAGGACGAACTGACGTCTCTCCTGGCTCGCATATCTCAAAAGCAGTCTGTGCAGTCACTCATTATTCTTGATCGGTCTTCAGGCTCCATCATCCGCTCTTCCGGTTCGATTGCCGCCAACAGGAATTCGGAATCTCTCGTCGGAGAGTATGCGGGGATGGTTTGGAAGTTTGTTAAGAGCGCCGAGGAAATGGTCGGTGGTATGGATGATGAGGTATATCTATAAACATAGCGGATGTGAAAGAAACACTTACCGATTCGCTCCTAGGACGACTTGAAACTTTTGAGAGTCAGAACGAAGAGGCACGAGTTAGTTATCGTACCAGGTAGTTATTAATGCGTCCTTAATTACTGTGCCTGAGCTAACTAGTCTTTTAGATCCACGCTTTATCTTAATCGTTTTCCATGATACACCTACGGCTTGAAGCTAGCAGCATGCTCACTTATGGATTGGACGGCGTTATAAACAAGTGGTTTCATGGTAATATTTTGGGTACACATAAAGGCATTTCTTTTTTCCTTTCCTAAGGAGGCTTTACGAGATACCTATTTTGTAATCAGAGTGGGCTCTTGATGAGCACACCGCATATTAATTTTAGGCTCTTTCAAGGTCATCTAGGCGCTCCTTTATAAGTCGATTAATTCTGAAGCACAAGTAATGATTTTACTTATGATATCTCCAGTTCTCATAGTGCTTTTGACAATTCAAATTACCGTAGATATATTTGATATTGGAAGTTTATGACCGGAATATACATCCTTGGCGAATTATTACATGTAATGCCTGGTACATGTAGTTATTGATAGATGCGGGAATACCAAGTTATAAAGAGACCGGGTTGCTTAATTGACTACAATACCAGATCAATATATGTTTTACTTGAAGAATGAATTACTTCATAATTTATTGCAGAAATACGGAAGGAGTTTTATTAGCCTAGCCAGTAATCCCTTTTTTTCCAATAGTCCTACTTTCGCTCCATATATAGTGAAATATTCACTCATAATAGCAGTGACACTATAACTATGTATGTATGTACATGTATCGTGGCCACATATAATTCCCTAGCTAGGCTCAGAAGAGCCATATCAGCTAAACAATGTAGTACAGCAATAGCAATGTCTCCGATTATTAGCTTAGTGACATCTCATGATGCACGCCAGAGGTCATCGCAATGAGTCGGTCAGATACTGCCAATTTCCTATTTTCTTTGAGTGACTTGCGACAACTGCCAGAGATAATAATCAAAGCCCAAGAATCCAATCTCCAAATTACAAACAGCTGATCAGGCATCCTCGAAAGTGGGTTAGGGTTAATTCACGCACCCTCTGTGTAACTAACTGACTACCGATGGTTACCCTACTTATCGAAAACTTCGACAGAGCCTCAAAAAAAAGTTCCTAAGCTCTCAGCGCCAGAAACACCCAATCAACCATCATTTTACTCATTGCTACCAAAAATGAAGGTCGGCTTCAACGTAAGTTTCTCCCAGTTGGACTTTTTTTCTTTTCAATTGATTGCTAAAAAGAATCCCCCCAGTTCGCAAATTTACTCGGCACAGTTTACTGTCGCGGAAATCTCGTCTTCACACCAGATGGAAACTCTCTACTTTCACCAGTAGGAAATAGGGTTTCGTGTTTCGACCTCGTCAAGTGCGCCTATCAATTCCGTATGCGTTGGAAGAAATGTTACTGATTTCCGGGTTCGCAGCAATAAGTCCTTCACCTTTAGTTTCGAACACCGGCACAACATCGCAAGATTAGCTCTTTCGCCTCAAGGAACATTATTACTTACGGTTGATGAAGGTCTCTCACAAATTATCCTAATTTCAATACAGTTTCTGACGCAATTGTAGATGGCAGGGCGATCCTCACAAATTTCATCCGTCGTACCACCCTGCACTACTTCAATTTCAAATCAAAAGTTACCGACCTGAAATTCTCACCAGATGGTAAACATTTTGCTGTCGCCGTGGGGCGCAAAATCCAAGTCTGGCGTACACCCAATGCCGATGAAGAACGGGAGTTCGCGCCGTTCGTTAAACACAGAGAATACGTAGGGCATTACGATGTTGTGAACAGCATTACCTGGTCTAGTGATTCGAGGTTTCTTCTAACTGCGTCAAAAGATCTGACGGCAAAGGTGTTCTCTTTAAATCCCATTGAGGGATTCGTGCCGACTAGTTTGGCGGGGCATAAAGATGCGGTCATTGGCTCTTACTTCTCTAAGGATCAGGAAACGATCTATACAGTAGGCAAGGATGGCGCATTGTTTGAATGGAAGTGGAAACAGCCACCAACAAGGGAGGATGAGGACGAAGACATGGAGGAGGTAAAAGAGAGGCCAGAGAGGTGGATGATCACGCAGAAACACTATTTCCAGCAAAATCACGCAAAGGTCAAGTGCGCTACATTTCATCAGGATTCAAATTTACTGGTAGTCGGATTTGATTCGGGTATTTTTGGATTATATGAAATGCCAGACTTCAATATGATTCACACCTTGAGCATCTCCCAACAAGGGATTGACTTTGTAACTGTCAACAAAACCGGTGAATGGCTCGCCTTTGGAGCTTCAAAGTTAGGTCAACTACTTGTATGGGAATGGCAATCAGAATCATATATTCTCAAACAGCAAGGCCACTTCGACGCAATGAACTCATTAGTGTACTCGCCGGATGGGCGGCGGATCATCACCACCGCCGATGATGGAAAGATCAAGGTCTGGGACGCACAATCAGGGTTCTGCATTGTCACATTCACAGAGCACACATCTGGCGTTACAGCCTGCGAATTTGCCAAGCGTGGAAACGTTCTTTTTACTGCCTCTCTCGATGGCAGTGTTCGAGCATGGGACCTAATTCGATACAGAAACTTCCGAACATTCACTGCCCCGAGCAGACTCCAGTTCTCAAGTCTTGCAGTCGATCCTTCCGGCGAGGTTGTCTGCGCTGGCAGTTTGGATAGTTTTGATATCCATCTATGGAGTGTACAAACTGGGCAACTCCTCGAACAGCTCTCTGGGCACGAAGGCCCAGTCTCAACACTTTCATTCGCACCAAACGGACAAAATCTTGTTTCCGGTTCCTGGGATAGGACCGTACGAATCTGGAATATTTTTTCTCGAACCCAGACAAGTGAGCCGTTACAGCAGCAGACTGATGTACTCAAGGTTTCTTTCCGACCTGACGCCCAGCAGGTTGCAGTTAGTACTCTTGACGGACAGCTCACATTTTGGGACGTTGAGAACGCCGAGCAAGTTGGTCATATCGATGGGCGGAAGGATATTTCTGGAGGACGAAAAGTAACAGACCGTACCACCGCTGCCAATGCTGCTGGTACAAAGCATTTCAACACACTTTGCTACTCTGCTGATGGAACATGTGTTCTCGCCGCTGGAAACAGCAAGTACATTTGTCTATACGACATCGCTTCTGGTAGCTTGGTTCGGAAATTCACTGTCTCGGTCAACTTGTCCATCGACGGCACCCAGGAATTCCTCAACTCAAAGAACTTGACAGAAGCTGGCCCCTTAGATCTCATCGATGATCAAGGTGAAGCTTCTGATCTCGAAGACCGTATCGACCGTACTCTCCCCGGTGCTTCTCGTGGTGACTTGTCACAACGCAAGGTGCGGCCCGAGATACGTATTGCAGATGTCGCGTTTTCTCCCACAGGCAGATCCTTCGCTGCAGCCTCAACAGAGGGCCTATTAGTATACTCTCTTGACAATGTAGCCATTTTCGATCCCTTTGACCTCGACGTCGATGTAACCCCCGCAGCTACACTTGCTGAAAAGGACTATGTAAAGGCGTTGGTGATGTCTTTCAGACTCAACGAGAGATACCTTATCCACCGTGTATACGAGGCTATCCCTCCTGAGGATATTAAGCTGGTAGTTCGAGAGCTCCCAGTAGTTTACCTGGCTAGACTGCTGAGATTCGTCGCTGAGATGGCGGAGGAAACGCCGCATGTTGAATTTGCACTGCTATGGGTAGAGGCAGTTTTGAGTAAGCACGGCAGGGTGATTAAAGAACGGAGAGGAGAGTTCGAGACGGAAATGAGGAGTGTGGCAAAAAGTGTGCAGAGAATCCAGAGTGAACTGGCAAGGCTGTGAGTCTATTGATTTCATCCTATCCTCTTGCCTGGCTCATCGACTGACCTTTCCCTTCTAGTGCCGATGAAAATGTTTACACGCTTGAGTTCCTCTTGTCAGCGCCCGTACCCAGGCAAGGCTCATTAGGGTCTCCGGATAAAAAGACGATAACAGAAAGGGGAGAATCCGATGACGAGAAGGAAGAGGAGGTCGACGTGGAGATGGAAAATGGGAGCAACGAAGGTGAATGGATCGGACTTGGTGGTGATAGTGATTGAACGACCAGATCTTATGGGGTAGATAACGGTCAAAAAGCGTGTTTTGTGTTTCGTGTAAATTTAGTTTGTATTTCTCACAAGTAATCGGTTCCTATGGTATGTACAATTCTTCAATGGGGACAACAAGCATCGGTCGTGACACCTAGCAATTTTACTCAAAGGGAAAGGGCGGTCACACTGATTCTGGAGGTTTCGGGCCACCTGTTAGTTTGAAGCCCCCTGGCCCCGATTCAAGACGTCGCCTAGGCCCCTGGCTTCGATTCCAAACACTAGTGCAATTGGTGTTGTTGCTCTAAGAAAAACGGAGAGCATGATAGGTACATGTATTCCCTTAAGCACCAATTAAAGGGAAATCCTGAAACGACGTCAGAGGTCGTCGAGAGTATGGTCCTCTAGGAAGAGGAATGAACGCTAATGTTTCTCAAGCAGCACACACACTAAACAATTCGATCCTACCACAATCACTCGAAAAGAAAAAGAAAAGCGGACTGTCGAAAAAATAATAATAGGCGGTCCATGGCAATAGCACAGTTAAACCCAGAGCGGAATTTTGAACGTTTCTTTCAACGTAAATGACAATTCAAATGCGCCGAGGAACAGGGAAAACACCTTCACAGCCTATCCCTTTCTTTCTTTTTTCAACTGTGCAGTGACAGAAAGTGTCTGCTCACCCCCACAGTGTTTGCTCTAGTGGACCTAATGCACTGCGGTTAGGCTCCCCATCCGACATGGGTGACGTGTCACAACATTTCCTCTACTCACACTTGTTCCCCAAGATCAAGTTTTTCATTCGGTACCCACACGGAACAAGGTATGGGGGGGGCCGAGTGATGGACTATGAAGCCATGGTTATGATGGTCACCGCTGGAACGCTTCAACACAAGATGATTACTTATTATTCGTTAGGATTGTCTCGGGTAGCGCAGCAGGATCCTATTGCATAGCTAGCGAGGACCAAAATTGAACCAAGACGTTCAAACAAAGTGTAGCTGGAGCAATTGTCTTCGCTACTCGACACACCAAGAAACCCGAAAAAAATACCCCCCCGCTTTTGTCTGCTTTGTTGGACATCAAAGCTTACTTTAAACCCTTTTGGCCCCATTCTGGTCCTCGCCAATTAACGTGGTGTCTCGCATCCACCTCGTATTCAGATATTATACTGGCGCCTGAAGAAACGGAACATACAGGACTTGGTACATTTAGTCAGCATTCCTGATGATAGATAATACACTCAGATATCAGAATGCTATTCGAGGTTTCGTGTGGCTAACTGTGAAGAACGTTGCGCTACGGGGTACACAAGCCCACTCTTACATCCTAGCGAACACCCTTAGATTTGGTGGAAACACTTGAATATTAAACGTACGATTTGCACTTGGTGATGACATCCGCACTACATTGATTGGGTCTGCCCCGCTTCTCTGATCTGCCAGCTCAGCTAGAGTCATCTTTCATCAGGCAAGGGGCTATCTGCTTTCATAGTATTGGATTTGTACCATCTTGTTCGATGCTTCGCCCGAGGAACTATCTGTTACCATCAATCTTTCTCCCTGCCGAAAGTGCTTGGAGAGGGATTAAGATCTATTGGTTCCAAGGCTTGATGAGTATTAAAGGTTCCAACGGCCCCCTCAAAAGTATATTCTTGATATTCTCCATAATTAGATGAAATCTCCTTAAGATACACATATCAAGCCATCCTTACACCTTTTTCTCTGTTACCGGCACCCTTTATAATACACTTCGTCGATGTCTCCTCGAAATATCCCAGACTCAGCGAACTTAACGCCCCTTCTTCACGGCCTTTCGATATAAAAACATGAAAGAAAGATCTTGAAAACTTCTCCCCAAAATACACCCGGGGTCCGGAAGAAATGCAAGAAAACCCAATTCATTTCGCGCACCTAAAGCCAAACCCTCGTTTTCCCGGGCCAGAGGGAGGTCCCACGACGATTCTCTGAAGAGTGGACAATTTTACACAAAGACCATTCGACTTCCTATATATATATACCATTGAGATTTTTCACCCTGTTAGGCAGACCTTGCCTTATCCGATCCCGTCAACGCCATCGCATAGGGCGCCCCGCCGCCCTGGGCGGAAGGGATAGAAGCGCATACACCCAACATTCAAAATATCAAGTCCTAGAATGTTTAATGCTTGCGAGAGAGGTGCATAAGAAGGAAGAAGCGGTGTTTACGTGGATTGTAATTGGCTAGGAGTATTATTATAAAGGGTGTTGGTGACAGAAAAAAAGTTGCAAGGGTGGTTGGGCTGTATCAAAGTAGATTTATATGTAATTATGTCAAAACCGCACGAACCACCACCGCCACCAGGCTTGAGCAGTTGGAACTGCTTGGGCCTGGTGGTGGTGGTGGTTCGTGCGTTAGGACGAGTCCCGTATTGGTGGTGCGAGCCGCTGAGATCTAGATTGGATCTATGTAATCCTCTAGACTAGATCTTACTCGGGGCAGGCAAATAGTAGAGTACCGGACAATGCAGGTTTCCTTTTCCACCAATCGATACGCGTACGTTATCTCTACCAAAAGGGTTCGTGCATTGTCCCGGACTTTTTACCTGCCCCGAATATAACAAATCTACTATAATTCGGCGGAGATAATATGACACATATGGTACCCTGGTACCAACGCGCTCTTTGTTATGCCCAGCCTTCACGTGCAGGCTATAACTCTGGTACTGCTTACCTGACCCGCGCAGCGCCTGCGCAGCTGCACATCCCAGGACCCCAGTGTAATACAAATGTCTGGGCACGAATTATACAGTGTTAGCTGATCACTAAACTACAACAATAAGCTACTACGGCAGTGCCTACAAGTATAGAGATGTCCAAAGACCAGCCCAGGCCAAATACAATACCACGGTCCAAAGACATTCTATTCGGTATATTAATGATTTCATCCGCCTTTATTACGCTGTACATATGTGAGATATGTACTCATCATATGCATGTAGATGATTTGATTCGACAATTATGGCCAAGCTCTACCGATAGAGTGCCTCAATTGATAAAGGCGATGTACATCCCCAATACCAACCATGAAATGATTTCGCCAGAGGCTGCAGGGCGGATTGTGCCGTGGTAAAAAAGAGGGTGGGAGCAACAACAAGAAAGTCTATCACTTACGGGACCTTCCTGGGAAAGCCCAACCCATGACTAACGGCAATGTGCATTAACACGAACTCTCTCGGGTTCCAACTCTACTGGGCCACGGCAACTAATAGTATAAGGACTTTCTTACCTTATGGATTCACTTTTTATTTTTTATTTTAGTTCAATGGGCTGGTCATTGGGGATTGATATAGTCGCCATTTTGGTAGATTTTCCAATCAAAGCAAAGAGCTGTACTTGATAATACACTGCTTTAAATCGCCTATTTTAGAAAAATTAACCATCTTTTAGGGGGTTTTCAAACTAAGAAAGGACACTTGGGTTTTGCGTTCCTACCCATAACATTATCATGGTGATTTCCATATTAGCGGTGTAAATTTTGAACCTGGTGGGGAAGTTGGCAGCAATAGTCGAATTTAGAGTGGTATATTGAACTCTTGATAGATGAGAATCCCTATTTCAAGAATCAAAGGCGAATTCATGAATATATAGCTCACTTAGTAAGGAGGTAGCCGGCAGGAGTGATGTAAAGAACCCAATTTTCGAGGCCAGGTTTGTAAAATGGGCCACTGTAGACAAGTATGTATGTACATGTAAGTACGGATCCTTGTAATACGGCCCTTGATTATAAAACGGCACCTTAAACATGTATTGTTCTAGATCTTTGCTCTTTTCCAAATTACGGGCTCTACACCATATACATGTATGCATAACCACTTTTTCGGATGAGGCTGCGACATCATGATCATGCGCATGATTTGAACAGAAACCTACACAGAAAAAAAATAACACTACCAGGCCGACCCCAATCCTCTTCATCCTACTGGGCAGACTAATCCAGTGATCTCTTGCAGGAAGTTTGCATACCCGCCGAGAAGAAACGTTGCCCCAAACGAAAGTGACAGGCATGGGGTCAAAAAGGCATTTCTCCCTATTATTGGCTGTTCTATGGTGCTAGTTAATTCTAATAGCAACTAAAAACCTAACCCAAAATCACATATCAATATTAACAAGATCGAAACATGACACTACAAACTCGGTTTTTGCGAGTGAAGATAAATTCAGCATAGTGCCAGTCATACAGGCACTAGCTGCGAGCTGGAAACCACTGGACGCTGGTTCAGAAACATTGACTATCAGGTTCAGTAGAGCGTTTTAGAAGTTGGTTGCTGAGTTTAAATATTTAGTTCTTGGCGACCGATTTTTGGTGTGCATGTGGATAGCCCGCCAAGAGCTCAAAAATTGAAAATGTGGGTGTTGCTAAAACGCTCTAAGTTTCCGGCATGATCATGATATGGACACCAACATATAATCCATAGTGAAAATGATCTCCGGAATCCATTACAGTATAGCAACACAAAAGCGGCAACAACTTAACCATATGTGGTAACAACTGCGCTAATATCTCAAACAGCTGGTGCCAAGACGTCGGGCCTGCGTGAACCGCTCGCTAAACCTTATTCTAGCAAGTCCACAGCGCGTAGGCGGTTAGATTTACTGAATGTCACTACGCTAATGCCCGGTTAGTGGGGGCGCGCTTCACGGAGGTCCTTATTGGTCACCAGCCATCACTCAAATGCTCAAAATACATGTATCTTTTCATAAAAGGTCGATTAGAACCGATCCCCTTCGACTAACTAGCCAGTTTTCAATCGACCTCAATCATGGTAGCTCACGGGACCGATTATAGAAATCCACCTATATTGAGTCATTATTGACTGATATCATAATCAATTTGATAGATTGGTCACGACCAGCGGGGTCCAATGAGTATAACTTGTGCTCTAAATAAACAGTGCCTTGATTCAATTCGACTCTACAATCGAATCGGACACAACTATGGCACACATTGGTCCGTTATTGCCCTATAACTGATCCTGGAGACCCTTTTATTTCACAAAGCAAGGCTCAAAAGCCGCGGGGTGCAGCCCCCAAAGAGGTCTCGGGCCTCATACCTTCCAACCCCCAGTCCCACATTAATGATGGGGTAACCTTAAATAGGTAAACTGTTGCATGAAGCTTCTTTACCCTGTTCCGCTCCCACCTACCAGATTGATGGCATCCAGCTCCATAAAGCCGAAAACAGGCCCAGGGATAACATCTCTATCATGTGCGCTTCCCTAAAATTTGTCGAATGAGAAGTCTTATTTCTAGTGTGGATACACCAATCTTATAACCAATGTCCAGCACTATGATGAACTGGCCATTATTCCTATTTATTTTATCCATGTTAATGTACAAAAAACTCTAAAAAAAAAAGATAAAAACCATAAGTAAATCGCTAGCATATTGCTAACAATGCAAGGGAATAAGTCGAGTAAGTAAAAAGTGACCGTAAAGAAAACCCCCAAACACAGGCCGGAGGTAAAGGTACACCTGAAAGCAAAAGAGAAAAAAAAGGAAAAATAACGCGAGAACATTCTGCCCCCCCCCAATCGACGCCGTACGACCCATTGAAAGAAATAAGAGTAACAATCTGAAGCAGAGAAAAAGTGACTACAATAATACCCCAGCGAAAAAATAAATAAAAAAAAAGAAGAAACAAATACCCCAAACCCCATAGCAGCTGTGAATAGCTGTCTACCCCTAAATTAGTAAAACGGCTTTCCTCAAACCATCGAATTAAGATCCTGTAGGCGTGCCTGCGGGTGCAGGCGGGCTCATCCCCAGCTCCGCCCAGGTCCCATTCAGCTTGGGGCATAGTTTTTTGTTTGTACCTGCATCATCCATTAGCATTTGGGTTCGTTGATAACTATAACAAAGGTGACAGATAATCTCTTACGAATATGCCCCGCCTGCCCACAATTCGCACACTTCCTCGTGGTAGCAGTCTTTCCCGGAACCGGCATCATAGTCATCGGGGAGCCAGGTGTTGTGGCCTCCGGCGACATGACATCACCAGTACTAAAGCTCCCCTTCTTGCCCTGCCTTTCCCTCGCCTCTCTCCTTTCCTTATTCCTTTGCAATCTCTGAAGCTCGATCAGCAGCCTCTTTTTATTCCTCTGGTCCTCCTCGTCATTGCCGGTAGGGACGATATTCTCGACTCTACAATGCGGGGTCAGTAACTTTCTTCTTCCTTTGGGTCGTTTTTTTCCTCGTCTGCTTCCGTTTGGGTACATACTGGGTCTTCTCAGCCTCAAGATCCCGCCGCCGCTGGAGATACTGTCGGATCACTTTGGGATCGGTGACTAGCTCGACTTTGTTCTCAAGCTCGCCTTTGTCGTTACGGACGCGGCGGACAATCTTGAGCACCTTATTGCGCTGGTTGGTGGCACTGAAGCGGGAGAACTGACTCATTGTCTCGTCGTCGGGGTTTAGCCATGGGCTTGGGCCGCCGGGGGTGACAACCTGGCTGCGGGGCGTCATTCCTTCTTCGAAGAGGTCGTCGACGTGCTCGTCACGCTGGGCATCCTCGATTTCAAGGTCTGGAGGCTCAGTAGACGATAAACTCCTGTGCTGTGAGCGCCAGATCTGGTCAATTGCTTCCTCATACTGACGCTGCTGACGGGCAACATTGTAGGAGTGCCCGCCGAGCTCCTTGAGGCGGGCTTTGTCCATCTTCTCCTCGACACTCTCGCCGACAGCCTTGAAACCTCCCTTCATGCTGGTCCTGACAAATGAGAATGCCTCACCACGGCCACTGGGGTCGCCTTCACCGTGGAGCTGCAACATTGCTTTACCTTGTGTAGCGTTGATGAAGTTCTTTGTAGAGACCCAGGGGGTGAGCTGGGTCTCGAGACTCATACCGTCTTTATCATCATCTTCTTCATCCTCGACAGTTTTTGCATAACCAGCGTCAGCGAGGTTACGGACGCCGACTTGCATAGCCTCGAGGAGACAGAGGTCCTCAGGCTTGACCATGGAGCGGATAGCGGGCTCGTCAGGGACGATTTCGCCAGGTTTCATTTCCCAGAGACCGCTGCTCTTTTGGTATCCCATGAATTCCTTGATCTTCTGTCTGTTTTGTAGATCATTGTTTTCCGGGAAATGTGCAGATATATCCTTGACTGCAATGGCTTTACCTTCTTTCCGCTTCACAACACGGTAGCAAACCATCTTTAGCCTGTTCTTGGCAGCTGTTGTGACTTTACGGGAGTGTGGACCTGGAACATCAGTGACGGGAAGGAGCTGCCCCACTACATATATGTGGGATTGTGCGGAGGAAGTAGTGGCTCTGATTATCGTGCGTGTTCCGAATGACAAGGAAGTCAGTGCTCTTTGGTGTCTGCTTAAAGATCGGGGCACGACTCATGCGGTTGTACAGCGTCGGAACCGTCTCTCCCGGGTCTACGGTTCCAAAATTCCAGAACGGAGACCTGTCTTGGCTCATTAGTACCTGGGTCTCACCAATATCATATTTTGGTCGTGACTCGTCGTCGGGACCCTTCCGGCGGTAGTAGTTGATGAGACGGCTGCCCATTCCAAAGTTTGACATGACGGTGGGGTATTCCTCCGAGTACTCGAGGAGAATGAAGTTGCAATTGTCCATGAGCGAGATGTCTTTGGTTGTGGCAAGAACCGTTTGAATGTCTTTGCCGCGCCAGGTTTTTTTTTTGCGGCTCTTGATCTTGGAGAAGCGCATTTCCTGATTGACATGGAAATGGAGGCTTGGACGGTGGAAGGAGCGAGCTTCTTTGATGGAGAGCTTGGTTTTGTACTATAGAGCTAATATTAGTAATGATCAAAATGTGGGTTTGAGCAGGGATTTGACTTACATATGGTGATTGTAATCTCAATGCGGGCATGCTGTGCTCGATATTGAGCTGCCCGATAGTGCTTCTGACCTTGTTCTGGTGGTTCTCTTTCAGTAGATCGTAGGCCTCGTCGTTGCTGATATTGTATCTCTGAGTAAGGTCCTTGTTGACCCTTCTCTTGAACTCACCACCAATCTTCCGTGTTCGCCGAATTTCATTGGGCTGACGGATGTCCACCAGAAGATATGGATCATTCAGGTCCAATGTAACCTTTGCCGAGATGGACGTGAGGTTCCCATTAAAAATTGCATCCTCGTCCAGCCACGAGTCCGGTAATTGGTCCAGGAACTGGTCAATCTTAACCCGCTACACAGAAATTCAGTACACGAAACAAAACCCCCCCAACCGGGAGCCAACAGAACACCACAAACCTTCTCCGGCCGGTTCTTCTCATTCCGGATCTCGACCACATCAATTTCCGCATCCTCGTCGTCCAAATCCCGCTTCGGCATCGCCGGCGGCGATGGCGGCGGCGTTGCCAGAATCGCCTCAATCTTGCTGTCCCAATCGTCGCAGGCCAGGACCAGGTCGCGCTCAAACGACGCATCCTTCTTTGCCTCTTCTGGGTCCGGCTTCTCCTCCTCCTCCTCCTCTTCATCATCTGTCTCCATCTCCTCGATCTGCGGTGGTATGACAACGATCCTTGCCCGTCGCTCGTCGTCATCTCGCTCGACATACCCCTTGATGCCCGCCGCGCCCTTGGAGAACATCACGGAGTCGTCGGGCGCCATCTCGAGGTTGATCTTTGTGGGGACGCAGACCTTGGGCGCCTTTGGGAGGACGGTGCTGAGGGTTGCGGGCTTGCTCTTGAAGAGGGAGTTGAAGCTGAGGATCTTGTGGGGCTCAAAGTCGGGGAAGTACTGCTTCACGAGCTCCTGTTCGGTTCGTGTTGACTCCATCATCTCCCCGGGGCTCATCCCAAAGTCGATATCCTTGAAGAGCGCAGCCCCCGCTTTCGCTGCCTCGTCATCGTATAGCTGCCCGGAGGTGCCAGCACCACCGCCGCCGCTGCCGCTGCCACCGTCCGCAACATCGACACTGCCGAAGTCTAGGCTCATGTCCATGTCGAGCTCCCCCCCGCCGCCCCCGCCAGAGTCCTCAAGTGCGTCCATATCACCAAACAGATCATCAAGCTCATCGCCGAGAGCTGCCGGCGGAGCTTCGCCCTCATTCATCAGGTCAAAGAGCTCATCACCCTCTGCATCCTCCTCGGTCAGCTGGGTGTCATTGGCGGCCGTGGTGTGGGCAGAGTTGTTGGCGGGCTCTTCTTCCTCGGGGAGGAGGTCGTCATCGCTGATGTCCTCGTAGTCGACGGCGTCGGCTACCTTGCCGACGGTGTCGCCGAAACTGAAGTCGCCGGGGACGTCACCGGCGAGCGCGTCGCCGTTGAGGATCCCGTTGATGAGCGCGTCGTCGTCGTCGGCGTGCGGGGAGGGGGATTTGGGCGTGGCCATGGTTGTGGGCGCGCGCGTGTGGGGGGTGGTGATGGGTGTGGTGGTTGTGGTGGGTGTGGGAGGTGGAAGTGGTGGGCGTGAGTTGATGGGTGCTGTACTGGGTGCGGGTGCGGGTGTGCTGGGGGGTGCCACAACAAGGAGGTTGCCACAACTTGCAGTGACGAGTGAGCGTGGGTGAGGTAAGTGAGATGATGAGGTATGTGCTTCTTCTTCTGCTTCTTCTGCTTCTGCTTCTACTTCTTTCGCCGCTTCTTCCTCTTCTTCTTCCACTTCTGCTGTGACTTGAGTTATGATTGCATTGCAGTGAGTGAGTATCTGTATGGGGATGGGAGGGAGAGAGAGGATGAACTTAAGCACGAGATGGGCTGTATCGTTGGATGGATGGATGGATTGAATGGGATGATGGAATGGAACGGAGAGAACGGATAGAATGCTGGTGGAGGACTGTGCCTGCTATCGTGCACTCTCCATACTATCTATCTACATGTGCAGGTATGCAAAGACATGGACGCACAGTAGGTGCCATACCAGCCAGACCTGTTCCCCTGCTGCTCCGCTGCAGAACAATGAGGTCCACGCCGAGTGATGTCGCGTGCACCGGTCAACACCGATATTGTCTTGCTTAGCCGCACCATTGCACGCCAAACACCTGCAAGCATTAACATAGCTCTCAATGACGACACGGTGGGTGGAAAACCGACTATGGAGAATTGATGTAGGAATGATTCCGATTCGTCTTTCTTTCCTTCTCTCAGCTTCTTTACATGGCCTCTTTAGCACAATCGAGTTGTCTCCCCCGGATGCATGAACCTACACCTAATCCTTCAATACTATGAGTGCTTCAGAACCCTCTCCCAAAACTAGAACAGACATGACCGTATGGCTAAATTCTATGCAAAAAAATAAGATCTAATCAGTCAGGATCAATAGTATTTCCTATTGATAAGAAGTCTACTACTAATCTAGCTAGTACTACTTACTACTACTACTACCGCTACTAGGATGTAGCAAATACTCAAAAGCTCAGGCTTCATCCGCAGCCAATCAACGACATGCAACATAAACAACATATAAACAAACTCCAATACCGACATGCAAATGCAAATGCAAATGCACCCAAACAGCACAGAAAACAATGGGAATTATAACAAAAAAAAAGAAATAAAAACCACAGTCACACTAAACCTTCACCAACCCCACCTTCACCAACACCTCCAACTCCCCCTCCAAATCCCACCCCATCCACCTCCTCACCCCCGCCCACCTCTTCCGACCCCTCCTCCTCGCCGCCCCCTCACTCAAATCCAGCAACCACAACCTCACCCACCTCTCCCTCACCTCTCTCTCCGCCCTCCTCGCCTCCCTCAGCTCACCCCTCACCCTCTTCCTCAACTCGCCCCCCTCCACACTCCTACACGCACACTCCGTCCCCTCTAGCACCTTCTCCAACTCCATCACCCCCGCCCTTGCCCTCTCCGCCCCCTCCCGCGCCTCCCGTATGTGCGCAACATACCTCACTGGCCGACACCTCGCCATCAGCGCAAACAGCGCATCATTCTCCAGATCCATCTCCGGCGGGAGCGCCAGCTCCCCCAACCGCTCATCGAGCATGGGCGTCGACATCGGGGGCGGGGCGGGGCCGGGGCCGGCAAACGGCCAGGGGGCCAAGTCGAGGGCGTATGCAGACGTGTACAGGAGCGCCAGTATGACTGTCGCGCCGACGAGCTGCGACGCACCAGCGTGCATGAGTGTTGAGCGCACGGTGGGCGTTATGGTGGGCATGTGGGAGGTGCTCGGGGTCAGGGAGAAGTAGGTTCTTTTTTGTGCTTGCGTTTGTGTTTGCAGTCGCGGGTCTACATGTGTGGGTAGTAGTGGGGTTCTTCGGGGGAACTGGAGGAGGGGTTTGGAGAGGCAGCGGCGGCCGGCGAGGGCTCGGAGTATCACGGGGGATTGCATGTGGTAGTACGTATACGTTTATATCGTTTTGGGTTTTTTTGATTAATCGAGTCGACTTATAGGTATTAACTAGGTAGGTAATATTCGAGTTCGATGGATGGATATACTCGAGCCCGGCAGTAGGTAAAGTACAAATAGGGAAGACAGCCTTTGTAAAGGGGAGGGGGGGAACGTATCGCGTTTTATATCATATGCAGGTCTCTCCAAACTAATTTTAAAAAGGTACCAAGCTGAGGCTCTGCTCTGCGCTGCACCCCACTAGCACGCTCCAACAGTCCTACTATTCCCTTATTTAACCGCACAGGAATGCAAGACTGCGGCGCTACTCACGGAAAGAGTCATACCGAAAACTAACCACTGAAGATAGATTTCCTACATGAGGACTAGACAGAGAGGTAAATATGGGTTTGTAATCCTCATCTATAAGCGACTGGGGTTGCTAATGTTTGACAGTAGGCCACTTGACCTGTGAGCATAATCCATCTGGATCCCCATTGCCAGTATTATTGCACTCTGTGGCTGCAAGAATAGACGGACTCTCCGCACCCTAGAAGCACACTACATCATCGCACGCAGCCACCTCCGTGCTGCGGCGGGAGCATAGTTACATCATCCGAAAAAAGAAGAAGTTCCAAAAAAGACCCTCTATTGGGTGGAGAGTTTTTCTCCCCCAAGGCTTTCTTGCGACGACGTGTACCTACGTACCTGCCGCCGAGAAATCCTTTCTTGTGCTAGCCCCGAGTGATGTTGCGTGATGAAACCAGCAGTTGGGTGGCTGGTAGGCAGAGTACTCTAGAGTAACTACAGCGGCAACGCAAACAGACGGATGCGGCGTCAATCTCGGCTAGTTGCAGCTATCGCTGCCATCGTTACCGCTCCGCCAAGGGGAGAGAACTCAACCTCAAGTGTGGCATGGGGCCGCTTGTGTAGTACCTACCGCGATAGCGAAATATTCATTGAGGCCTTCGAATTCTCCACCGCTTAATTCCACTTCAATCGATTAGACAGAGCCAGGATTGAGTATATAGATGATTGCCGTTTAACGTTCTTGCAATTGGTTTAATTATAATATACGTTACCGGTAGTAAATACACAACTGCAATTAAGGTCTCTGGCCGGCCACATATGGACCATTTCTTGCCATCACTAAAGTATACTAGCAGTTTGTGAAACCCTTATGCCTGAAATTCAGAAGAAACCGAATAAATCAACATAAATATACAGTCGACTCTCGTTATAAGGATAGTAATCGGCGGTACCGAATATTGCTATTCTACCCATCCCTCCTCCTTCTCATAGTAATACTCACCTTATAAGGATACATATTTTCGGTCCCGACCGTATCCTTATATCGAGAGCCGACTATGCTCATGACATTAAGAGCTGGTAACTGTTAGCAACAGTCTCTAGCAGGGCGGGAAATGAATCGTTGGATGCTTTTCCCTAATGCCTTTCCTGTCCATACAGATACTTTTCCTTGATATCCTTACTTAATATATACTTTTCCTCATATCCATGGTCATGAGGTCTTACGTTTCTCTTCTCCGCCGAAAGAAGAATTATCTTTTTCATCAAAGCTTTATCCTAAGACCTTCAGGTCTCAAGATTAACGAGCCCTCAAATGAATCTGTGGATAGTGTCATTAAAATATTTCGTACACCAACGGGCTTGTAACACTTGGGGAATGTAATTCGTTTTTTTTCTTTTTTTCTTTCAAAAATGCGCCCTCTGGTATATAATGCAAGCGATACCGACTTGGTGATTCTGGTAACATAGCGCGATGTCCTATTATAGTACATGTACGTGTACTATGAAGTATCCCGAACTTATTCTCGTCAGGATGCACAGTTTCTGGTAAAATTATTGCGAAAGTGGGTTCTCCATGACCCGATAGTCTTATTGATCCTTAAAAAGTTTTTTGCTGCGAGCACAGGCCAACAAATCCACTCTTTTAGCTCTGGCTTTCGCAATAATTCTACTGGAAACTGTAGGCACATAGGCCGAGAAAAACACAATATAGGCACAGGGGAATATCAAGCCAGAGCATTATGGAGAAGTATCAGGAAAAAGCGTCACATTTCCCTGATGAATTAGCTGATATTTTACCCACACAAATTCTTGCAAATGATATCTTTCCTTCACTTACCATTAAGAATCTAGAGAGTTATCAGGGTGGTTCGGATGGAATTGTGGGTGCAAGGATTGTGATATTTTGAACTACAAGTAAGGTTAGTACTGTAAGCTTTATAAGAATTAGATATTTCCTTTGATATATATGATCGAAGTAGAAGGAGAAAGGGTGTATGGCTGAAGGTTGAAGGGGCAACGTCGTTATGAACCTTACTTACAACCCTAACCCACTTGCATTACAACGTACATACATACTGCTGGCCAAAATATTGTGTCACTCGATTTTAACTACATACATTTCCATGTATGCGTAAGTTTATTGCAGACTGATTAAATATTCGGCTCTGGTTGATTCTACTCTACGCAAGTACGGTGCGGTACTGTACCCATCTTAACGCAGATCACGCGGTGGCCATATTAATGTATCTGAAACGCAGGATGGATGAGCGGTCTGTCTCGGAATGATCTATCGAAGCGAAGTTGTGGGGCCGGAAGATAATCAATACGAACCAAAGTTGAATCCTGTATCAAGAATCCTCGCCAGATAAATGAACGGGAGCACTTACGGGTGATGCTGGGTTTCAACGTTTTATTTCTTCCCCTGGCTCGCGAACCTTTCTAAACCCTTTTGAAAGATCTCCGCTTTTTGACGTGTATCAAGTTCCTCTTTCCTCTCATAAGCGCTCGTTGCTTCTGATCTCTGTTCCCTGACGTGTTTTGTCCCAGGGAAATGGGTAGATGCGTACCGGGAAGTGCGCCGTATGATATAGGTAGTCAGATGCATTTCCTCGCGGCTTTTACTCTTCGCCCAGAATTATTCTCACAGCTCAAGACTCGTCAAGTAGCTGATGAAGACGTTGAAGTGGTACTAAACTTATTTTTCCGCGGCCAGGCCGTTTACCTTCACTATACCGCCAGTCGGTTCTTCCTTCACTCCTTATTTTGTTTATTTGACTCTGTTCTTTTATATCTTCTTGTTTCATTTCACTCTTGGACGGGATCCTTGAGGGTGATTTGAACACACTCGACATTACTTCCACCATGGCTACGGACATAATACTAGAGCCTCCTAATTATGGTCACTTGCGACTGGATAATGCTGGAAAGATATACATTGCAGTGTTCGCGCTCTGGACTTTGTTGTTTGGTGTTGGTCTGGTAATCTTTCTTACCCATCGTCACCTTCCGTTCATTCGTTTGAAGAATGTTCCCTTAGTGTGCGCAGCATTGGTTATGCTGCATGTACAATTGAGTTTCGACATTCTTATGTATCCCTCGAACGGTTTCTTGCCCTGCGGTCTTGAGTTTTGGGTAATGAACATATGTCTTCCGTAAGTTGAAATTGACCCTCGATTCTCAAAACTAAATATTAACAATGTATATGTGTTAGGCTTGGAATCGCACTTTTTCAGGCACAGAACATGCAGCTCTTCAGTCTGTTTTGGGGACAAAAGCACCTCGTTTGGCTGCGCTCTAAAGATCTCGGGTCCGCAAACATTTCGAAACATGAGGAAACGTGCCCTCCGAACAATATCCTCCTCCGATACTGGTATAGGTGGCGGGATGTCTGCATCTTAAGAAAAACTTACATAGTTATTGCTATTGGTACTGCTCTACAGGTATATATAGACCCAAAATTAGCAGGATATCCTCCATTAATACATTGTGCTAACTGCATGCAACACTGAAAAGTTCATTGTGGCTTTGACTATTTTTCTTATCTCAAGACGCTTCCATTCAGGATTTGGACTTGTGGGGAAACCAGTTTCTCGCTTTCAATGTAGAGCTGGGTGGGAATGGTATGTATTACATATACTCCACGTCTACTTTCAATACTTCCTGAAGCGCCAGACATAGGCGCAGTTAATCGGGGATGACACTGTTGAGAAGCCATTGTTAACGGGTATATACATGTAGGTTTCACTCAGGTATCTGGCAGGCGGTGTGGACATATGGCTACGGCCCCTTTATCCTCTTCAAGATTAGAAAAATCCAAGATACGCATAGATGGCGGTTACAGACAACTTTGGCCATACTTTTCAGGTTAGTTATTTCTAAATGTTCTAGTTCAAGATCAAGAAGGGATGATTTATCGGATCAGATAGTTTCTTCTTTTTATTGATTCTTGTAACTGTGGTAGTAGTGAGCCATTTTTGATAATCTCTGTTGGTTCGTTCATAGTCTGCCTGCTTTGCCATTGTGGCTTTCGACTTGGTTTATGCCGGATTTCTATATTATGAATTCCCACTGGCCTCCTAATCTATGGTAGGTTTCTTTCCTCCATTTCTGTCAGCCTGATATCTCTGCTTACAAGGGTCAGGTTCGTGCCCGGACTCGGGGCGATGGAATTTGTGATATTGTTTTTTCCAATCGTTGAGATATGGGAGTTTGAGAAGCGTCAGCGGAAAGCACGTGAAGAGCCCGGCCACACAAAATTCAGCAAGTACAGCATAGCAGCATTAGAGCGGGCATTACATCATGACATTGACCGCCTGGAGGAATTTGCTGCGACCAAGGACTTCACTGGGGAAAACATCATTTTTCTCAAGCGCGTTGAGAGCTGGAAAGAGAGGTGGAGGTTGTCGGATATCGAAGCCGGTAGCGGGGAGTTGACACCACCGGTTCTTCGCTCACTCTACGATACTGCTGAGCATATATTCAACGCTCTTATTCACAGAGAATCCTCTGCTTTTCCGTTGAACATTGAAGAAGATGTCTACCTTCCCTTGAGTAGAGTTTTCGGTGAATCTGACTATAGATCTCAGAGATGTCTCTCCATACACAAGTTCCCTTCAGTTTCAAAGGCAATAGCCCCGTTTGCAGACGAGATTCTCACAAACGCAAGAAAAACGCCTGAAAACAGGGGATTTCGGGAAATCCAAGGCTCACGAGAGCCCGAGAAGCTCGAATACAATGATGAGAGACCGCCAACACCCCCACGGAAAAATTCAGTCCTAATCGTACCGCCCGAGCCACCAATGAGTTTTGATATCCGTGTCTTTGATAGAGCGGAGATCGCAGTTAAGCAAATGGTTTTGACAAATACTTGGATTCGGTAGGGTTTCCTATTAGTAAAAAGAAACATTGATAATATGCTAATGTCCTCGGTGGTATGATCATATAGTTATGTAGATTCGTTACCTCCCTCTGAGCGTTCTTTGATAGGCGTGGGACCTACGATTTCACCTCCGATAAGCTGGAGATGGAAAAATTATTTCTGGAAAAAGGATTCGGAAGGACTATAACTACATGTATATTAGTGCTAGCTAGTTATTAGAGATATGAAGTCATGCCACGTTTATTTCATTCTTCATATACCGCAATCACGGATCCGGAGTTTATCTCATTATTGTATTAGACATCTCACTTATAGCAGCGCTGGAAATACATCTATCCTCTATTATAACGAGAAAATATGGGTAGAACATACACATTCTGTAGATGGGGCAAACCTAAATTTCTGAGTTCGGTTGACGTGGTACATGTGTGCAGACCTATGATTCATGATTTATCACTCGAACATCTTATTCCTTGGCGTTTCCATGTCGACATCACGTGATGTCAGACTATGTGCAATAAACACTCCGTGCTTGTACCTACGCCTGCGCTGCATGTACCAGCAAAGACCAATTGCAAAAGATGGCTATTACATGACATATATCCTATTTGAGTACAGAGTGCGCGTGCCTACAAGGAAATTCTTACAAAGTACATGTGAATAACAGAGCATAATACCGTAAAGATGCATACCGCTATGTCATAGTAGTATTATAATACAGGTTTGCTATCTAAGATGATTTACCTTCTCTCATAATATTACAGTATCTTGTATCACTGCCTGTAATTGTTGGAAGCCCTTACAAAACATTGACCTTTACAGACCGTAACCTACTAATTCTGACCAGGGTCCTGCCAACATGCAGCGCCAAGATCTGAGGCTCGGTAGCTCCTCAACGTCACGGCTCCAGATCTCAAGCTCAACAATCGATACCGCGACCATCACAGGCTCCTGCCATGGCATTGACTTCGGTATACTATTTCTTGCTTGTAAAAGCTCCAACTGTTGCTAACCCGTACACGTAGTGGAAATCCTTCAACTTCTTTACCGTCACCCCCGTTAAGGCACCTGACGAAGTCGACAAAACACCTTCACGACCACTCTTTGAGGTCCGATCTCTCCCAACAAGCTTTATCCAGCTATCACAAGCCTCTCTGAATCTAACATTTAGTAGGGTACAGACATAACTGCTATAGCTTCTGGTTCCGATAGTATATTTATCGGCACTTCCACAGGCCATGTCCACGTCTGTAACTCCACCTTCAAGATTGTTCGCTCTTTTCATACACATGAAAACGATTATGACCACTCGGGGAGTATCAGACATATCAAACAAGTGGAAGGGACGGCTCTTTTGGTTACAGTGAGCGAAGATCTAAGCAATGAGCCTGTTTTAAAGGTGTGGGCGTTGGACAAACCCGAAAAGAAGACAGGGTTTCCAAGATGTCAGACAACCGTGACCATCAACAACGGGAGGAGGCAATTTCCTGTTAGTTTTCAAACCATTTTTATGATAAAAGTATGCTAACCCGAGCAGATCTCTGCTTTTGCTACAACCTCTTCACTATCGCTTGTCGCCGTTGGGTTTGCTAATGGATCGATCACTCTGATCCGCGGAGACCTAATTCATGATCGTGGGACAAAGCAAAGAATGATCTTCGAGTCCGAGGAACCAATTACCAACTTATGCTTTTCACCTCCTGTTACTTCACCAACTGCGGCACCTCACCCTGGATATAACCCGTATAGATATCATCCGGCGGCTGACGGCGGCGACACACTCTATGTTTCCACAATAGGCCGGGTTTTGACGTTGATTACGGCTGGAAAAGGTACAGGTCAGCCTGCTAGGGTACTGGAATCTCAGGGATGTGGTCCTGGATGCATGACCCCTGCGATTGACTTCTCCTCCGGCGATAGAGGGCTTTCTGGAGAAGGTAACGACATAGTTATTGCTAGAGATGATGCTATTTACTTCTATGGCCCTAATGGTCGCGGAGCTTGCTATGCTTATGAAGGTCCAAAGGAAATGGTGAATGTATTCAAGAACTACATCTCGCTTGTTTCACCACCAGCCTCACAGCCGTCAACGGCAGCTCGAACGGGGGGCGTTTCTAATACTTTGAAAAGACTCGTGGGAAGAGGCGTTCCAGTAGCGGCGGACGACCCTTTTGACGTCACAAAGTTTACACTCTTGGATACGGAGTTGAAATTTGTGGCACATTCTGAACGATTAGTTTCTAGTGTTCGGAACGTTTTTAATTCGTGGGGCGACTTATTCGTTTTGACTTTTGATGGGAAACTGTATCGATACCACGAGGTTAGCTTGCAAGACAAGCTGGATATCCTTTATGCTAGAAACTTATATATCCTCGCTATCAACCTTGCACAAAAAGCCGGAGTTGGGGAGCCGAAGTTACGGGCAATCTATAGAAAGTATGCAGATTACCTGTACGGGAAGGGAGACTGGGATGGGTCAATGCAATGGTACATCAAGGCCCTTGGCCCCTCAAACGAAGAGGGAATAAGCACAGTCATCCGCAAATTCCTCGATACGCAAAGGATACACAATTTGATCGAATATCTCGAAGAGCTCCATATGCACAAGATCGCGACATCTGACCATACAACACTCTTATTGAACTGCTATGCCAAACTAAAGGATATAGACAAGCTAGAGAGATTTATCAAGCAAACTTCAGGCGAGGGGTTAATGTTTGATGTTGATACAGCAATTGCAATGTGCAGACAAGCGGGTTATTACGAACAAGCCGTGTACCTAGCGGAAAAGCAGGGTGATCACGAAGTTGTCGTTGGAGTTATGGTAGAGAACTTGAATAGGGTCTCAGAAGCACTGTCATACATCCAAGGATTGGACCCCGAGATGGTACACCCAATTCTCCCTTACTAATCAAACTTGTACGGTGCTGATTGATTCCCAGGCATATGCGAGCCTAATGAAGTACGCACGAACTTTTCTAAAAGAGACACCAGAACGTACAACAGATTTCTTTGTGGAATACTATACCGGAAGGTACTTTCCAGGAAACAAAATCACGTCAGAAATTCAAACGCAGAATGGTAAACACGAATCGGGGATACAAGGCTACCTCAATGCTACTTTATTACAACAATTGCCCTATATGGGTGGAGGTGTGGGAAGTACGGCAACTAATACGCCCACAAATGTAGCCAACCCGGGGCCATCTCCTAAGAACGTTCCAGAATCTACGAGTAGCGAAGGGACAACAGTACCACTTTTATTACCAAAAGCCTATAACATACCGAAACCCCGGACGGCATTTTCTTCGTTTGTGGAACATCCAAAGGAGTTTGTTCTGTTTTTGGAGAGGGTTCTTGAGAATGTAGAAACAGGAGGTTATGGAATAATGAACGAAGGTGACCGAACAGATATATATACTACACTTTTTGAAATATATTTGCAGAGGGCAAACGAGGAAGAGAAGAAAGAAGAGAAAGAAAAATGGGAGGCCAAGGCAAAGAAGATTATTGAAAGTAAAGAGGTCAGTCTTTAATTACCACCTTATAGGGTTTGGTGCAGGTCATTGTTCACTAACGGTCATCGCAAGACATTGATTGATACCTCCAACGTCCTTCTAATCTCCCATTTATCGGACTTTCGCGATGGAACTGTGCTAGTCCGTGAAAAACAAGGCCTGCGATTTGATATATTCAGATCCTGTTGCTCGGCCGGAGACACGGCTGGTGCTGTTCGCGCGCTCAAGAAATATGGTGCCGAAGAGCCTCAACTGTATCTTGCCGCATTATCGTATTTTACCAGCAGCCCTAAAGTTCTCGGAGAAGTCGGCGAAGCTGAACTACAGAGAGTGTTGAAAGTCATTGATGAGCAGGGCTTGATGAAACCTCTGGAAGTTGTGCAAACATTGAGTACAAATGCGGTTGCTACAGTTGGTATGGTGAAACGGTATCTAGGAGATACTATTGAGCGGGAGAGGAGGGAGATCCAAAGCGTGAGAAGTCCTCTCACTAGAATCCCTTATTGAGCTATTACTGATTTATTTTACTAGAACCGGAAAATGATCGAAACTTACAAGGTGGAAACAGAAAAAAAGAAAGCAGAAATTGAAGACTTGGGCACAAAACCTAGCGTATTTCAAGCACAGCGGTGCCAAGCCTGCAATTTACAGTTGGATCTTCCTACTGTACACTTTTTGTGCAAGCATTCCTTCCATCAAAGGTTTGCTCGGTCCTTACTCTCAAAGTTGAGATATCATTTACTAAAAACAATACAGATGCCTCAATCAAGTTGATGACAATGTGGAATGCTTGACATGTGCTTCTTCAAATCAGACCATTCGGACACTTCGCAAAGGTAAAATCAATCTTAGTGATCCCTTTCCTGGCCAATACTGATTTCGAATGCAGCCCAAGACGAAACGTCGGACAGACACGACTATTTCAAGATGTCACTGCAAGAGTCTCGGGATAAATTTGGCACCATCAGTGACTTTTTCGGCAGAGGCGTTATGGCTGTGCCCCCTGTTATCCCAAACTAACACTAATTCAGGATGGTGTCTTGGTGTCAATGTTGGTAATGACCTGAATGATTGTTATGTCAGTGCGTTGATTTATTACTTTCCAGCTTATTTTACGAATTATATATTTTTTTCTCATTGTAACGTAGTCTCCATGATTCTCGGACGACTTGGTGTACCAGTCCTGCTGGCTCATCTAATAACTATTATCGATTACCTAGGCTCAGAGCTCAATCTTTGGAATTCAAAATGTGCATCTTCCACTCTCTACCCCGGATAGCTAAAAACAAACGCCATAGCTCAATGTCCCAATTTAAGAAAGAGATTAGGAATAGCGATTCAGATAAACCAGTCCCACACAAAGACAACACCAGAGAAGACTACGGCTCCCCAGAAAGCTGTTCTGGCAATTGTGATTTTCTCACCAGCCTTTTTGAGCTCTTTATTACCGCGCTCGACGTTCTCGGTTGTTTGCATCGCATCTTGAACTAGATTATCGATATAGGCGTTCTGGGTCGCCAGGTTCGTAGCTAGCTGTGTCTGGAGTGAAGAAATCTCAATGAGAGATTTTTCGGCAGTTCTATAGACATATAAGCAATAGTTGCTAGGATTATGATTTTTTCTTACGTAGATTTTGTACATACCTAACTTGGTCCAATGCATCCTCGTAGTGTTTGATTAATTCGTCATTCTCTTTCTCAAAAAGCTGCAGTTGCTCTGGTGTGAGTTGCGCCTCAATGCTTTTTTTCTCCTCTTCTTCCATTATCGCAGCATTTCTTCCTCCACCTAAATTCGAAGTTGACCCGAAATTTGATGCGAGCTGTTGTGGAGGTGCCTTATTAAGCATACTCTTGCCCTTCTCAACCTGCCGCTGTAACCTAATCTCCTGCTGTCCCCGCTGAATCTCACTCGCTTTCGCCAGCTTCGTCTTCAAAAACCATAGTACCCCTTCTCTATGTTGCTTGAGTGCCTCCAGTTTCCCTTCTTCATGCTTTTGCTCAACACTCTCATCACGGAACAGTCCTCGAAGACCAGTTGTGAAACGGCGCCGTAACAGCGCATCCGCAGTTTGAGCGCGGAGTGTTTCAGTCGATTCCAGTCGGTCGATAAGAGTCAAGAGCTCCTGAACCACACGTTTTGTTTCCGCATCGATTGAATCGCGCTGGGCATCCGTAAGTGTATTGGCACTATTACTGGATATGGATGATGTGGAGATGGTGCGTGGAAGATTTGGACGAGCAGCTGCTGTGGCGGTAGAAAGATATGACTGCCGTATAGAGAGGAGGTAGGTCCTCAGCGAGGATATATGTGATTCCTGGTTTCCAATCGGTCAGCGAGATGATAGAGCTAGGGCTATAGGTAAGTTACGATTCGAAAAGCTTCCTTAAGGAATTCATCGGTTGGGGGGGTAGGCTTCCGAGATGTTGAGATAAGAGCTACTGCCGGATGCTTTGAGAGACACTCATTGAAGATGGGAGTTATATCAGTCATGATTAATGATTGTATATGAGGGAAACGGAGAAATGTCAAGTTGGCTACGTTGCAATAAACATAAACTTGCGTCAACTAGCAATCGGCCTATGAGGCTCTACTACCTACATAATTACATGCAATAAAAGCTTGGCTGGTATTAGCGCAACTAAAGAACCTTGAGCATTCACATCAGACTTTAAATAATTATTTCTTAATATGGTAAGGTACAGTGTTGGTTCTATCACAGTCACTTACTTTTCTTTTTAGTTGTTTATGTTACCTACATGTAGGTACATGTATGTAGAGTACATGCTCTAGTAAGTACATACTCTATGTACATGTACTTATGTACCTACATGTACATGTACTCTATAAGTAGAAAGGAGTGTCAAACTCACAAAGGTGATCCTAATCTATCTCATGAGAAAGCAATAAGATAAACCTACTTGTACATAACCTCCGCAAACTGAAAGTACATGTAGTAGATCTTACGTTTCCCGGCTGTCAACTTTTGCAGTGCAGTACCAAAATGAGTACATGTATGTACTATACTACATCTGACAGAACGACATGAGAAAATTGATACAGTTCCATACATGTATTTTCCATGATTCTAAATTTTAATCTGACAATTTAGCAATTTTAAATCCGAAATCGCATTTTTTGAAGTATATGTACTCATAAAGAGTAAGGTACACATACTACATGTATATACAGAGCTGTCGAAACTGCCTTTATCCCAGTGTTCGTACTCAAATACGTACATGTACCAAGTAGATAATTTATATAATCTACGTAGAAGTGTATCTGCGTTAACGCGTCTTAAAGCTGGATCTTTATTCTAGAATATTCATGTCTTCTTTCACTTCTCATCAAATTGAGTTTTCACACAGCCTCGCAAGCTTGGAAGTATGGTGGCAAAACCATCGAGTCAACGTGATGACACTAGAACTAGTGGTTGCCGTTAGATTTCTTCCCTGCACTGTTTTTCACGATTCAATTCAGGTCTAGATGTCTTGGCAGAGAAATCGAACGCCAGCGCGCGAAAAGAGAAAAGAGGCAGGGTTACTCAGCAACCTACTTGGCGCAGAGATTTTTCATACAAGGTCCACCGCGCTTCCTTTTTATTCTTCGTTCACAACATCCCCTTTCTCCCTCTTTCATCAACCTCCCAACCTCACTCCTTTGCTCTTATCGAACGTTCACGCGTCGGATTAGCAATATACACCATCACTCTACGAGTGTCATATCTTTCTCTTCACACGAAAGATCATAATACATAAAAGCCTACTACTCGCCGCATTCCTGTGATCGGTTAGGATATTCTCAACCTTTGAACAAACCTCAGACACTTCGACACAGCAAATCATGTCGTACGATGCTTACAGAGGCAGCGCTGGAGGCGGAGGCGGTTACGGAGGTGGACATGGTGGATCAAATGGGTATAACAATTCTTACTCCTCTTACCCTTCTTACTCCAACGGGTGAGTTGTGCCCTTAACACAGGCCTCTGTCACGAAGTTTATTTTCGAGTTTCTGGAGGCCTTTTGCTATTGGCTTCAAGAAATGAACCCTAGTTATTAGTATATCATTGAACACCATGCTAACGTAAATATAGAGGTGGTGGTTACGGTGGCTCTCGTGGAGGAGGTGGTGGATATGGAGGTGGCGGAGGCGGGTATTCTGGTGGTGGAGGCGGTGGATACGGCGGTGGAGCCGGTGGAGACCGAATGAGCAACCTTGGAGCAGGGCTCAAGACCCAATCATGGGGTGAGTACTATTTTCAGATTTCTTGACGGAGAAATAACTAACAGCGTCCTGATAGATCCATCAACTTTGCCCAAATTCGAAAAATCTTTCTACAAGGAAGATCCTGCGGTTACTGCACGCACTGGCGCAGAAATCGAAGCCTTCAGAGCTGAAAAGCAGATGCGCGTTCAAGGGCGTGATGTCCCTAAACCCGTTATAACTTTTGATGAGGCTGGATTCCCCAGTACGTATTACTCTAGCAGGCTGAATAAGTATAAAAGAAAAAGTACTGACAAGTGTTATTTTAGGCTATGTCATGAACGAGGTCAAAGCTCAAGGATTTTCAGCACCTACCGCTATCCAATCGCAGGGTTGGCCAATGGCACTTTCAGGGCGCGATGTTGTCGGTATTGCCGAAACCGGTTCCGGTAAAACTTTGACTTACTGTCTCCCTGCTATCGTTCACATCAACGCTCAGCCGCTCCTTGCTCCTGGTGATGGTCCCATCGTTCTTGTTCTGGCCCCAACTCGCGAGTTGGCTGTTCAGATTCAGCAAGAAGTCGCCAAGTTCGGAAAATCTTCCCGTATTCGAAACACTTGTGTTTATGGAGGTGTTCCCAAAGGGCCCCAGGTCCGAGATCTCGCCCGTGGAGTCGAAGTCTTGATCGCCACACCTGGACGTTTGATTGATATGTTGGAGAGTGGCAAAACTAACCTCCGTCGCGTTACCTACTTGGTACTTGACGAGGCCGATCGCATGCTTGACATGGGTTTCGAGCCCCAAATCCGTAAGATCCTTAGCCAAATTCGTCCGGATCGTCAAACTTGCATGTGGTCTGCAACTTGGCCCAAGGAAGTCCGCCAACTCGCATCCGACTTCCAGAACGATTTCATTCAAGTCAACATTGGTTCTCTTGAGCTTTCGGCCAATCACAACATCCAGCAGATTGTAGAAATTATGATGGATTACGACAAGCGTGATAGGTGAGAAGCCTCTTTATCCAAGGACAATAGGAAGATTGCTAATATATTGTGAAATCGTTAGACTCATTAAACACCTCGAGAAAGTCATGGACGATAAGAACAGTAAATGTCTTATCTTCACTGGTACTAAGCGCACAGCAGACGAGATCACCAGGGTTTGTTATACTTCTTAAATATGAGACAAAACTTATGAAAATCGATATTAACGGCGTCATAGTTCCTTCGACAAGATGGATGGCCCTGCTTGGCTATTCATGGTGATAAACAGCAGAATGAGCGTGATTGGGTTTTGAACGAGTTCAAGACTGGAAAAAGCCCTATTATGGTTGCTACTGACGTGGCTAGTCGTGGCATTGGTATGATTATAACAAACATCCTCCCCTTCTTTCTGCCTCCCCTCTTGCGTGCTTGCGAACAGATGCTCTTTTCTCAACGCTTCGCCGGACCTACTCGTATATCTTGCCTATATTCTGGCGTCTGTTGGTTTTCACCTATGAGAACTTTGATCTCGGGGTGCAGCAATTTTGGAATCTCATGAAAGTCTTCATTACACCGCTCATTGAAATTGGGTGAAGGTAATGTTGTCTGGGCTATTAGTTGCTGCGCTTTTCCCGAGGTTTAGACAGTACGCCGCAGGAGCTTGCATAGTTGCAATGATGAACAAGATACCGAGGGCCGTGATATTGAGTGAGACGCAGAATGGCGCGTCACGCAAACCAAAAGGGTTCTGGTAAAGTGTTAAGATATGTGTTGGATGCTAACTTTTGTTCAAAGATGTTCGTAACATCACGCACGTTATTAACTTTGAGTAAGTTTTTTCTCACTACGTGTTTGAAGACTATAATCACTAACAATTGTAATAGTTACCCCAATAACTCAGAAGATTATGTTCATCGTATTGGTAGAACTGGTCGTGGAGGGTAAGTCAAGAATTCAGAAATCTCGTCTATCAATAGAACAGCACTAATTTTTAAACAGTGCCAAGGGAACTGCTATTACTTTCTTCACTACAAATGATGCCAAGCAGGCTAAGGATCTTCTCACTGTCTTGAGGGAAGCTAAGCAGCAGATCCCTCCAGAGCTCGCTGATATGGCTCGCTCAGGTGGTTTCGGCGGCGGCGGGCGCTATGGTGCCTCCAGGGGCCGTGGCGGCCCCCGCGGCGGCGGCGGTAGAAATGATGGTAAGCTTTGCCACTAAATAGCCGTACGCTACTAGCCCGGTTACTAACTCTTATGCAGGGTCCTCATCGTCTAACAGTGCGCCCTTGGGTCGCAGCCGTTTCTAATCCATAGTTTCCAGCATAATAATTTTTCGGCAGGCCTAGATTTCTTCGCTTGGGGGTTCTTATTCTTTTTTTTTTTTTCCATAGATTGGTTTGCTCACATAAAAGGGGTTTCGTTTCAATCGTTCACTTGATATTCAATAACGTTCACTATCGACATGTTTTGAAAACTGTTTGGCATTATGACCATTCAGAGAACGATGCAAGATTCAATTGATGACAAAATGTGATTTGGGGGGGGCGATGAAAACTATAGTTACTTTTCTTATTGCACTCAGTAGTAATAAATTCAGACCTGCCAAAAAAATATGGCCTATGTGCGTTACTTGTACCTTGCGTCCAATAATAGCCACAGTACATTATAATTTGTAAAGCTTCATAGGTATTCATTACCATCCAGACCCCAGCCAGTTTGGATTGCTCTCTGTAATAATTTGATCCGTACATATAAATACATGTAGTTGTAGTCCTGATACGATCATTGTCTCGGTGCTCGAAGGCCGAAATTGGACTGTTCTCTTTGTCCTGGCAGCATCCGCCGAACTAGGATACCCTTTACGGCCCATTTGCCTGAAGCTTCTCCTCGACACCCCCGTTCCAAGATTTTGTTTCAGAGGACGGAGCGGAAAAACTTGAGCCTGAGTCTTGAGCAGCAGGGTGGGTCTCGCCACATCCAGGTGAGGGGAATAGTTTTTATTCGGGAATGCGGTTTGCTTATGGGAATCCCGAGGCAAAGGCTGAAGTGGGCAATGAGGTCACTTTCGTGCGTAACCACGTCGAATATGATACATGTGGTTTCCGAAGGTGCAGGACGCATAGAACGCCGACATCGCACACATCGCACACCTCACAATTCGAAGGACGAGACGAACACCCCCTCAGGTAAGGAGGAACCATACAACACACGATGGCACAGTGCATCCTTTCCCTCCCATTTCTATTTTATTGAATATTTATTTTACTTTTCATATCCTATCAATTGATAGTCAGGGGGAAGGGATGGAAGAACGGGTATGATGTAACAACTAGCTTGATGTATCGAAGCATGCCAGGATTGAGACGATCAATTGGTACAATTTCTTCGGGGATGATATCGGTGGCTATACTTACCTAATATTTTGAATTTGTCTGGATGAGGCGTACCTACTCCTCACGCAAGAATTGCAAGAACCACATGCCGGACATTTCTTGCTCCATGAACTCGCAGACAATATGATGGAGACTCATGATCAGCATGAAAGGGATGAGAACTTGCAATAATTAATTACAACCACAGCAACAGCAGCAGAAGTAGCACTGCTTCTGACTATCGCCAAGAGGCATGAAGCAATCGATCGGGCATATTTATTCAAGTTGCATTCATCCAATTAATGGTTAATCGTGTTGGTGGGGTAGACGGATGTATCCTGGGGGCCTGTATTCCGGTCAAAAAATCATTGAAACTTTATTTTGCCGCTATGCCGGCAAAGTGCCTGATACGGAGTAGCTCTAAGCGGCAAGCCGCCAACAAAGGGTCCAGAAAAAAACCTCCGCCGGCGTTGATTGACATTCGGCCAGACCCTGAACTTTACTTTGCCTTTACTTCTATGTATGTACATAAACCGGGCTCAACTGGGGCTCAAAGCTACATGTATGGTTGAGAGCCACGAGGTTTCTAAGGATGCTGGTTGAGACCTTAATTCAACGATCCTCAATTGACGCGAGAAAGTCTAGAATACATGTAGATTAGGATGCTGTATGTCTGGTCTAAATCACCATACACGTGCGCGAACACACAGACAGAGGTAGGCAGGACGACAGGATATCCTGCACACCTCACTCATCATACAGGAATTGCGCCCCGTGCGGATGCTTGTATGTACTGTATCTTCTCTCTACCCCCTCCTCTCTCTCTCCATTTCTCTCTCTATCACCCCCCCATGACTCCACGGTGTCATACTCGGCCCAGATAATCGGCAATCAGACCGGCCTGGCCGGACTCTTCTTTCTTTGGGTGTTCCCTGAATAGGGCCACACCCTTCCGACCCGCGTGGATGGCTGTCTGTCTGTCTGCCTGTCTGGGTGGATGGCGTTGATTTGCGCTCGCTCGCTCAGCACACGGACAGAAGTGTGGCTTGACTGCTGCTTCTGTTCTTCCTTTTTCTCTTCTTTCCTATCCATTTTTTTATTTTCTTTTTATCCCCACTTTTCCCATGGGACGATACCTCTAGCCGCCCATCAGGTTTGGTTAGAACTTAGCAGAGAACAGCCAATGGATCGATTTTTGAATTCTACGAATCGGGCTATCGCCGCGTAACGCAATCAAAACCCAGCATTCCTTCCCAGCCACCCATCATCCATCACCACCACCAGTGCACCACCACCGCAACCTCCACCCCTCAGGGCTGCTGGCTGCCCCCCCCCCCCCCCCCCGCTTTTGCGTTGAAACGAACAATGCCATCTTCCTAGGGACAGCAACCTACCTACTGCGAACCCTCACCACCCCCCCCTTCCCTTCCAATCGTAAATTCATGGTCGCCCAGGAAATGGATACCTAGATGCAAGCACGCAGGTAACGCCTTGTGGAATGTTCAATGGAATGTTTCGACTCAAAGTGCCATCGTCCGAAGCCACGGCTCTGGGTCGTTTTTTCGCGTTTTCATAGATATACGGCCACACCCTCCTTTCGTCCACACCGGGTATCGTTGCTACTAAGGGTACCGCGCATTTGTGTTTCCTGCATGGAGCTGTCATGTCTTTCAGGAAGTCATATTACTTTTATTTTTTGCCATTTTTATGTATGTACCTACACGTTTATCCTGCTCGCCGTTCCTTCACTTAAAGTTTACTTACAGTGAGTGGGGTTTGCTTGCATGCGCCACACTCGTTCACGTGAGCAGCATCCATTCGCCCGCCACTGCTTACCCACTTTCTCGAGTTTTCCACGGCAAGAAAAAGTTATCCAGCAGCTTCGCACAATTTGGAATCCGGACATTATTAATTCCGCGTGATCTTTTTGCCCACGGCCGTTGACCGCTGAATTTTTCCCGAGAAAAATTGTTGTCGCCAATCGAGTTGTTCAGACGGAATACCTCATGTGATAGGTAGGGAAAGAACCGGAGAAGGAATGGAAGAGCTGTTGTTCCGGGGACTACTGAATAAATCTCCGAAGTTCTCGTTTTGGTACTCTGATCCCCTTGAGATCTTAATACTTGTCCTTGCAGCGTATCCCCCTGCGTGTGGTGGGCAGCCTAGCCACCTTCCAGTTGTGAAAATTAGAACAACAAGCGACAGAGGCGGCGGTGATGAGGCAGGAAAGCGTAACCAGCGCGCTGGTTCTCGGTTCCACGGCACCAGACCCCCTCGACCTCTGAAATCTTCTGTTACATTTTTCCAGAGACGCCAGAAGCAGGCAGCAAAAAAATCCCAGTGTTAACCCTGCCTAACATGGAAGTGTGCATCGTCACAGGTTATTATAACCTCAAATATCACTTTTCAATCTCCCCACCCAAAAAACGTGTGCATCGTCGCATGTTATGCTGTAACCGTTATTTATTGTTCGCATTTCATAATGGATTGTCCTGGTTTATCGTCTCTAAAATCAATTTTTATTCGCGACCTTACCATGCTTTTAAAGCGCCCCTCCGGCGACAGACTTATTGTCGTCATCTCACAGGTTTTTTTTTTTTTTTTTCCCTCGAGGGATAACGGCACGCACACACGACACACTCACATCACATCAAAGCGTTGTTGCAACCCTTGCGTGTTGAATTGATCTCGTCCAGTTGACTGAGGAGTGTCGTCGCATCTGTTCCCTCAGAAGACTCAGAAAAGTAATGGGCATTGGGCAAAGATGAGCATTTTTATATGTTGCTTGAGAATTCAAAGTAATTGAACCTAGTACGCCTTATGTAATTGTTTTTTGTGAAAAATACATGTAGCCCACCTTCAAGAAAAAAGCCTTGCACTTTTTCTGCCTCTTCCTTTGAATGCATTTTTTTTTTTTTTTTTTTTTTAGCTTTCTAGTTTTTGCTTTTTCTTGCTCTTTGTTCCACAGTAGACAAAAGAATCTGATGCAGGCCGTTGCTTCTACTCTAGTGGCACATCATAGAATGGAACTCGCCGCCCCATAATGCGTGACCCCCCCAGTCCAGGATTTGAACTGAACGCAACTCCAGCTGCATGAATCCATTATCCAACCATCCCCGTTTAATATCCTAGTTATGTGTACAGTATGCCACACTTACTATCTCTTGCCTGGGCAGAAATATCCCAAAACCCACACTGACTGCTCTTCACGCAGTTGATCTGAGCTTCTTCGAATTGTACTTCCTACTACTGGCAGCCTCTTGCTGGAGATCTTGTAGAGACGACGAGGGGCCTCTCTCTCTCCTCTCTCTTCAACTCTCTTCACCTCTCCTCCCCGAACCCTTTCTCTTTCTTTCTCTCTCGCTCTCCCTCTCCTCCTCCTCCCTCCCTCCCTCCCCCTCCTCTCCCTTTCTCCCTCTCCCTTTCTTTCCCTTTCCCCCTCCGTCACTTCCGCCGGCCGTTTACCACCGGGCCCATCCCCACAAGTGACTCCACTTAGTCAAATTCCGTCACCACTACCGCTAGACCACTGAGTCGCTAGAGCCCAAGACTGTGCGTGTCGTAGTGTGCGTGTGTGTCGGAAAGAAAGTTAGAGGGCGGTCAAAATATTAGCCCTGCACTGGTAGCGTTGCCTCTTTTTTTAATCAGCAATTTTTAACCTTCGAAGACGCGAAACAAAATCCCAATCGCTCTTCCAACGGTCACCTTCCCTTCTAAACCCAAAGCCTTCCCATTCCCATCCCATCCCACTTAGAAACCGTCACCCATACCATACCATCCTCAATCTCGCCTTACCGGGTCTTCTTGCACCCCTAAAAATCCGCTTCGTTCGTCCAAGTGTGTGAGCCTACCTACATCTCATCCATCCATCCCATCTCTGCACCCCTCCCCCTCTAACCTAACCCCCCCCCCCCCTCAATCTTCCATTATCCCTTCCCCTCCACACTTCTTGTCCGCTGTTTTGCCCTTTACCCTCACTTGTCACTTGTACACTTGTGTTCCCCCCCCTCCCCCCACGAAAACCCACCAGTCCGTTACTCTCTCTTCCGCCCCAACAAACCGTCACCCAACCACTACTTACATATACTTGCTACTTACCTAGTCATTTGCAATCGCACTCACACTCAAACTCAATAGTAGTACTCCCACCGTTGCACCGACCATTGTTGCACCAACCTTACCTAGACGTCAGTCGACTAGATCAATTGTAAAATTTTGATTTTAGGCTTTGGAGATCCTCCCGCATCCATCCTTCCACCCAAGGACACTTCACCCAGAATAGCATGTCCCTTGCCTTCTCTACTGCCCCGGTCAACCATCACAACGGCTCTCACGCTCACTCCCAGCACTACGGATATAATCATTCTATGGATAGAGGGCCATCCGATTATCAACAATCAGGTTTGCCATCCTCAGCGTCCTATCCTTCATACAGCAATCAACAGCAAACGGAGTCTCAATCGGCAGACCAGCCTGCATCAAACTACCAGACCCCTTCTCAGGAAGTAAGGTCGGCTTCATCCACATACTCGTCATCTGCCACTCCCTCTTCAGAGTACGGAGGCACTGTCAGTTCTTCTTCAAGGACACCTACTTTCCCACCCGACTACAATTTAGGTGGTCATCGGTATTCCGAGGCGCCTCGTTACCACCCGTCAAGTTCTACTGCCGGAGGTAGTTGTCATTCTTTCTTCCGATACTAGTGATCCGCCTAAAAACTATACTGACCCTTGTTTACTTCAAGACCCTAGCGTCCCTGCCCCGAGCCCACACTACGCACCCCCGACAAACCAACAATACGCGCATTACCCGCCTCAAAACCCCCATCCAATGTCGGAAACATACTCTAACGGCGGTCATGGCAATTGGCGTCCTGAATGGGGCCCACCCACAGGACAACACTATATGAATGGCGCCCAATACAATCCCCATGGTTCACCTACTGCAAGTGTGTCATCGCTCTCTCCTGGCGGCACGCCGGTCAATCGCAATGTAAAACAAGCTGGCCGTAAGCGCATCTCAGACCAGACTGCGCAACACCCTCTTTCCCAGGTATACTCCTTTGTGCCTATCCCTGGTGCACAGCAGCATAAGCGGCCTCGTAGGCGGTATGAAGAAATTGAGCGCATGTACAAGTGTGGGTATAATGGGTGTGAAAAGGCATATGGAACATTGAATCATCTCAATGCGCATGTGACAATGCAGAGCCATGGTGTTAAACGCACCCCAGAAGGTATTTTATTTTCCCTGTTACCTCTTATTTTATTTTATTATTACCCTCGCACCATTCATCGCGCGCCTCCTCGGCCTATTGCCTGATAATATGGGGTGTTTGATTGGTTCGTCTTGGTGGTGCTTTTGTGTTACTGCACTCGGATGCGCCTTTTGACGCGTTCTGTTTTAAATCCTTAGCAGTTATTAACGTGATCACGTGAATAGAATTCAAGGAAATCCGCAAGGAATGGAAGGCGCGTAAGAAGGAGGAAGAGGCTCAACGGAAGGCCCAGGAGGAGGCAGAGCGCCAGCGAAGCACCGAAGGTGGATCAGCGACCGAGGTTGCTCAGGTAACTCCTGGTGCTGCCGCCCCAGCTTCAAGTGCGCAATATACCGCTGGTGGTATGGCTCCTCGTCAACTCCCACCCATTGCCTACCAACAGCCTCCTGTACCGAACGTTCACTACCCCGCAGCGCCAACAGCGACTATGGATCAAATGCAGCAATACCAGCAGTCCACGATCTATAACACATATCAACAGGCGCCATATCCTGGACAAGGCCCACAACAGATCTTCCCAGGCCAGGCCCGCCAAGCACCCATTCCACCTACAAATGAGGAACCGGATGCGGATGCTGATGCGGACCCTGATGTCGCTTCAGCTCAATCGTCCTACAACCAATAAATATCATCCATCAATCGGGGTTGTTATTGTCAAGCAGCAATTCCCGTATTTATAAATACTATGCTTTTCGATAAATAAAATTTTACGACATGATGTGCGACGACTGTCTCCTAAGGGTCACGGTTTATTCTTTCATTTTTTTTCTCCCTCTGGCATGATGGGTTGCAGGATGGAAAACGAATCAAGCCCCCCACACTTATTTGTCAACCACATCACAGGCCACTTGCTTTTTCCCTCTCTCCGTCCGCCCCTTTTTTCTTGCTCCGCAAGAGAAATCGACACACCACAAATTGTCTATTACTATTAGCTCGTTTTCGATGTTTATCTTTTTTCCTTTTCTTTTTAAAGTTCGTGTACTGTTTCTTAACCAGAAAAGAAAATATTTTCATGGGGGTTTTGGAGAGTATTAGATCTCTACCTTTTTGCTGTTTCTCTTCTTTTTCCTTAGGGGGCAGGGTTTCTTTTCTCTTAGATTGGGGGGGGGGTCTGGTCGCATTTCTTTCCTTTCATCGTTTTTTTTGTTTTGCACCCAGTCGGCCATACCTCGGGTGATGACTGACTGGGAAGAGAATCAGGAGAGAAACAACGAGAAAGGGAGGGATTATGCCAAACACCCGGTCTTGATATTGTTTCATTTTTAATCCTTCTCTGCACATGTTTTTTTTTACAGGGTGGCTAACTACTTATTGTTTTTAACTTTTCACATTCTGGAAAGTCCCCGGTTTTTTTGTTTCTTCGGGGCTGTTTGATGATAATTACTTCCTGTGAGATTTGTAAAATAATGAGCGTGTACCGGTAAATAAAGCACAATCGACCTCATTGCTTGCATTGTGTGAGCTGTCGTTATGTACATTTGGATGATTTTTTTTTTCTTCAGGTATCGGCTGTGAGAGTCACTAAACAGTAATTGATTTTTTTTCCTTTTTTGCTTCTTCCTATCGTTTAGTAAACGCCTCCGCACGCACAGTCACACTTATGTCTCCGCTTCAAGATTGACGCGAGAAAAGAAGCTTCTTTTTACGCCATCCGTTTTGCCTTGTCTGTCCGAAAACCTGGTTTACGGTAATCGTCTATCTAACGCCTCGCGCTAGAATCTCGTTCGCGAAAAAAAAGTTTAGCACATGCTTTTTTTGGCGGGCCCTTACCTATGGCTTCCCCTCCCCACCCATCCCAATCTTTGTTTTTTCCTACTACTTGCAGTTGGGGAGGGGGGGTTTTGATGGTGCCAGTAGTAGTGGTGGTTGTGGTGCGGTGCACTGGTGTTTCTAGTGCGCTTCTATGTCAGGCTTCCATCTGGGAAGGGGTGGGGGCCTACATACATGCTCTCTATTCTTTTTTTTTTGCTGCTACGGTCGCTGTGCGGCGGCGGTGCACTTACTTGTTGCTTAGGAAGAATAAAGCTAACTCGTTTGATGATGATAGGGTTCTTTCTTTTTCCGTATGCCTAACTAGAGTGACTACATATGTAAGTAGTTTATTAATCATTGCCTACGTTATGGGCCTTGGGTAACTCTACAATATGTCCGTAGGTACTCATACCTTACCAGCAGGGCGAGCGTGCAATATTACCGGTTTCCAAATATGTAGGCCTGTCCTCATCCAAAATCCGATGGGGAGTGGTACATACAATGGCAGCAGCAGCTCAGTGCTACCAGCTCATCAAGGATAAATAATCAGCCGGTGATGCTGTGCGCGCGAGGTGCGATGTGATGAAGGATACGTACCCAATATAAATTCATGAGGCTGACTGACGTGACTGTTATTATGATCCCCAGATTAATTTAAACACACCACGATACCCAGGTATGGGGTTTTTTATCCCTTGGGCTGGTGAGACATGCAGACTGGGTTCCTCCCCGAATAAACTGTGGCTTAGTGACTTTGCCTCCACTCAGCTTGATGGCACAGTCACTGGGACCAGAGCCTAATTGGGAGAGGGTTCCAATATGTCTCGCCAGGCCAGGATAGAACGGTGATCATATTATTCCAGAGCTTATCTCGCTATGACTAGAAATAGCTCCCAAAGTACCTATCAATCAATCAATCAATACAGACCTGCCACTATGATCATCACCGCTCGTGTCTTCTCCACATACGTACGTACAACGACACCTACTATAATATAGAATGATAACATCATAACATATAGCAGCATGCTTATTATGCCAGCAGTAAGTACCAGCACATCACCCCCATTCTCCGGCGTCGCCGCCGGCGGGGGCGGGGGAAGGGGTCAGAAAAGGTTTTTGCGGTCATTGTGCAGCAGCGCACTGCACCAGCACCGGTTGATTGCATTTTTTGTACACCCACAAAAAACGTGCCCCTCCACCTCCCGTGCTGTTGCATATTCCAGCCTGAGTTCTCCCTGCAGCTCCACATGCAGGGCACACTGCGCATACCAGCATACCATCCATAGCCGAAGGGAGTCAAAGGGCACAAAAAATAAATAAAAGATATATATATATTAAGAAAGGTAATTAGGGCAAGCTCGGTAAGGAGCGAAAATTAGGTGGCACGGTGTTCTGGACTCAAGAAAACCTTCCCCCCCGGTCCTTGCCTGACACAAAGTGATACTCTTTGCACAGACAGTCAATATTAAAGAGCGGGACTCGAACCGGACAAGCTGGAATAGTTGGAAGCCGTCATATGTTCGGTAAATGTAGGAGCCGCAAGCTGTGTCCGTCCGAACTTTTGCTAAACTCTATGATAAACCTCACCCCAGGTATGGAAATGGCTAAGCCACAGCTGTACAGGCTACAGTATCGAGTGCACAAGAATTATTGATTTGTTATCCCACCGCTACTGAACGTGTGTATGTGTGTGGCTGAAATTATCTCGTGCTCATATCAGCTGCTAAGCAGTCCCAGGGAAACTTTTAGACTTCCTTAGCCTCGATCATGTATGTAGCCTCTACCAAATCGTCTCTCTTGTAACATTCTTGTTAAGATTTGGGACACCCAACCCAGCTGCAGCGGCGGCGGGCCGTCCCAGGATTTTTGCTCCTATCCTAACCATGTGTAGCCATAGCTACATGCTGTCTAGAAAAGGAACAGGGCTTGAGAGGCACACTGGCACAGGGAAGTCTGGTCCGTCTAGTGCGTAGTGCTCAGAAGTGCAAAATCAAACAAACCAGGTATTTGGTATCTGTTTCTGGGGTGATCCTGGTCATTGTTATACAAACGCACTTATGGCCAGCTAGAAACAAATATTGGATCACCAGTCAAAACGACAGTAGGTAGATATGTGCTCTGTACAAAGGTACCGAGGTTCAGTTGAGGTGGTGAGTGTCTTGGATGTTCTAAATCCAATTAGATACCTTGTGCTACCTCCACTAACAATGTTTATGCTCTCGGTTTCCCCTTTACAGAAAAAATCTCCTGAATGACTGACGAATTCAGCTGAGTTAGTCGTAGTCGTATGAGGCGTTCTGTGGATCGTCATCTGGAGGCTGAAACATGAACGATTTGGTAGTTGGATAATGTGCCCCGTAGGTATTGACCCACCCAGGAACCGCAATTATCTCTATTCGATCTGTAGGCACGGCACTCGATCTGTGTAAATTGCGAATGGTCAAGCTAGATGAAGACATCTAGTGATCTGTTTCACTATTCGTAGTTGCAAGATGTTTCCACATTGGTGCACACCGCGCCTCACCAAAATCAGATACCTTAATATCATAGGTAAATGATCGATATCCCCAGATTATCAATAACAATTGTGCTAACCTGAATTAACTCGCCTGCGGATCAACTTGTGGCTAAGACACGTGGTAATTAGTCCTAAAGAATCACTACTCTATATGTAGGCACTACAATACCTCTAAAGGTAATTAGGTAGAGGTGTTAACGTACGAACTGCCGTGTGAACTCTAGGTTAGCATCGTCATCCTCAACATCAGGACGTCCCAACCTCTGACATTGGCAGCGCCTGTGAGCTCAACTCAAGGTTCAAGGATTGTGGTCGCTCTGCAGTGACAATAAATACCTGATGTCATAAATCCATAAAGTGGACAGAAAAGTATATAATTAGGGCAACTCGGGTGAGAGCGTAATCATTTGAAGAAGTCCTCATGATCATGTTGCTGTGTGGTGCACCCTAACCCAGCTCTAGAGCACATACTCTGGATCACCAACACACAACTACAGCCTACAGGTTGGCACTTCCACCACAACCACACATGTATGACACGGACTTATGTAGTCGTTGATTTGGTGATATGTGAGTCTGTATCTGCACCCAAGGGACTCTCACCCCAATTCCTTCTAGATTGTTGCCGTGCTGCCCCTAGGATCGGATCAAAAATCCGATCGCGCGTGTATTCAGGGACTGCTACACACTTCCTTGCGGATTTTTATTTCTTTTTTTTTTTTGGGGGGGGGGGGGGTGTGAGATCCCTAGCTAGACAGGTTGCATAACATGTTCATCTGAACATTGTGCAAGTGCATACATATTCCTCATGGCATACCCGGAGATCTTTCCAAAACAACACCAAATCGTTGTCCACGCGTATTTAAGCGCCAACATAGGTAGAGTAGACTCGTAGGCACTTCAGAGATAGATTCAGAGAGCCCTATTCTTTTGGCATTCGCAAGACAGACAGGCCCCCCGGGAATCGATGCTGTACTTTATCGAAGCATGTGTAGTGCGTACGTATTGTACCTAAGTACGTGCCATTGCAGTCAGAGTACCTACATGTAGTTACTCATACTCTTTAAGAGCCTCAACAGGCAGCCTTACTGTAACGGCACAGCAACAGCAGCAGCGAATAATTATTTTCCGCGTTTGCGCCATTTCCCCACCCTTCCTGCGCCTTCTAGCTCAACGCGGGGCTTACTCTAGAGTACTACCGCAGTAGGTATTTGCTTTGCCCCTATATAAAAGACATCATATAACGGATAGATTTCCTAGTGAGGAAGCATGTAAGATCTCAGGAGTAAGACGGGGAAACGACTACGACGTCACCCATATTCTATGTTCTCAATGTAGTTGCTATTGCAGTGGTGAATTGATTGGATGATTTCTTCTACTCCAGGCTCGCGAGACGCGTGCATATCGTACGTAACGTAATTCCACAATCTATGCGATACGGTTCGGAAACATCAGCAGCAGAAATGCAGAACAGAAGGGGGGAAGGTGGAGCCGGGAAGGAAAGGATTCTTTGGTTTTTCTCGAAATGGACGGTCGATGAAGGATCTGTACGAAAAGGCTACCGAGACGAGACACCTGGGCAGGGGCACGTACAGGAAGAACCCCTCTCTGCCCTTTCTCTACCGACTGACATAAAGATAGATGGTGTATGGTGTGGTGGTATGTAGCCACCCAGGTGTGGGGGGTGCCCTGGGAATTCCCAGGTGTAGAGTTCAAATTTCAGTCTTCTCAAAGGTGGAGGTAGGGAAATCCTTGCCGCCCCTTCACCCGATATCGACTTATGTGGCCTGCCTCAAGGCCTGTTCCTGGTTGACGATCATTAACTGCCATGTGTTCGTCCAGGTGGTGCTGGTCAATACCCAAGAAATGCAAATGCAAAACCCAAGACATAGAAAGGGGTGATAGCACGCGGCGGGGGGAGACGGGGAGGGAGGATGGGTGAGTGGTGAGTGATGATTCATGATACACTCTCCCTCCTCAATATGTGTTTGGAAGGTGTAATGAAAAGGTCAAGAAATGCCATCCCGTCCGCACCCCCGGGCGACCGAGATGGGGCCGAGGATAAGTATTATTTTTAATTCCATACGCGGGCGAGGGTATTTCCGTCATGTAACTTGAGGCATGCCACTCCCCCTCTCTGTGCCATGTACGACCTGGCCTGCATCAAAATCTTTTTTATAACTCATATAACTCATTCACCGCCCAATAAAACCTTTGGATGCCGCCATATGCGGGATGGGGAAAAGCCCATGTCTTTGAATTCTCAATGGGGACGCCGAATATCAAGAGTGGAAACTATATCATTGTAAGAGTAAGAAAGCCAAATCTAGAGTGCTCAGCGTTTATGGACTGAATTGGGCCCTCAGATTACCAAAATCTGGTACGTACTTCATGCAAGATTGGGCTTATACATATATACATACTTACTCCACGGCCGTTTGGGACAAACTCCCGTCTTCGTCAACGTACGGTGACAGTCAACGACTATAAACCCAGTCCAGGACCAGGGCCGGAAGCGTGAGCGATGCTGTAAGTTCCAGATTCGAGTAGAGTAGAGTAGATACCCCAAAGTGCTTACATACATACCCACATACTCGTAGTTTCCTGGCGTTTTTGGACTGGGCCACTATTGCATACACCCAAAATCAGGATCTTGGCGTATTTTTGTATGGTATGCAATATCAGTCGCGTTCAAAAGGGTCAGGAAGTTACGAGTACCTGGAGTGATCTAGATAGGTACTGTATAGAGTAGAGCATGTGTCCATGATACATGGTAGGTATGCGGGGGTGGTTAGAGAACAAGGTGTCTCAAAGGCGTAAAACTTTAGGTATCTGTGTAGGTGGGCGCTCTTGAATTGAGTTGAGGCTCCCAAAACCCATCTATCAAAACTTCTCTGCAGAGCGCACATCCATTCTGCATCAATGCACATACATCCCCGGTTGCCAATAAATTGATTTTCACCGCGCACAAACGACGGTCACGGGGTTGGGTTCTGCTACCGCTGAAGTGGATAATATCCCGTGTATCCTATGGGGACCCGCCCGTGAGCATTCAATACGTAAAAAGAAGTTAAAAGAAAGATCTAGACAATTATTGTTGAGAATGATTGTAGGAAATGAGAATCATGATTGAGCATGCTTTCTTCGGGGGATATCGACGCGGTAACTCGGCATGCTTCTGCCTTGAAAATCGAAAGGTGAAAAATGAGTTTTCCACATCACATCATCAGTCAGTCAATAAGGCGGCACAGACGGAACGACGGAGCCCATATATCCCGTGAAAAAAAAAAAACCCGTTTCCATTTTTCCTTGTAAGCATGCCCTAAGGAGTGCGTGCCTAAGTACATGATTTTGAACTTTTTGATTCCCAAAGATATTCCCCCCCTAAAGGTTTACAAACGGAAAAAAGAATGGAACTCGTAACTGTATACTAAAAAAAATTTGCTAAAAAGAAAATACCTATAACTACGTTCTCATCGCTCCCCCGTGGAAGCCCGACTGTTGGTTAAATTGAACGTTTTTGTTACCACGACCTCTTCCCTGTCCTCCCCCTCTGCCGCCTCTACCACCTTCATGGTCTCCGCGTCTGCCGCCTCTACCACCCCTGCCGCCTCCCCTTCCACCCTGGCCGCCCTCCGGGAAGCCGCCTTGACCCTGGGTCTTCTGCTCCAAGACACGCTCGTTCATCTCCATCAAGCCACTAGCCTTATCGCTCAAGGTTAGGGCTAAAGTCTGAAGGCGTGAGAGTTCAACTCCCTTCCTGAAGATAATGGCATTGTTAACTTGGTCTAACGCGGCGGCGATCTCCTCATGGGCGATCATCTTGCTGACCAAGGCTGAAACCTTCCTCTCCGAAAGGTCGAACATCTCCACCAATCTGGAAATTGATAGTGTGTCGTAGAATGGAGCATAGGTAAAGAGATATGTTCGCAGGCCCTCCTCTTGGATCTTCTCGGAGAGCATATCTTTGATCTTCTGCGGTTCCGGCAGAAGATCCCAGATCTTAATGGCATGGATGAGCTCACTCGACCTCTTCCACTCTCCAGCAGCGAGTGCCTTGGCGGATTGCATAACATGATCACGTGTGTTCTCAGCAGGACCGGTAAATATTTGTCGTTCATGGTACTCAAGCATACGACGGAAAGTCTTGCTAATTACTCTCTTTTTCAGATCAGGGGATGATCCAGTAGCTGCCAGAGCCGGGATTTCGAGCAACATCGAGCAAGTGAGATAGGCACACTCTAAAAGCTCTAGGTTGATGTGTTGATGGAACGGTAGCTGTCTCTGTCGCTCAAGACGCTCCTGTTCGGGGCTGACCTGTGAATACCTCTGAATCTGAACGCCCTGGGCTAACATTTCCTTCAATCGTCCAGTACCACATATCTCTTGTAGACAAGTCTGGGCCTCGTAGATCAAACCAGCACGGAAAGCGCATAGTCCAACTTGCACAAGAGTTCTGTTATAGAGGATTTGTGTGCTAACATCGGCGACATGGATGTTCTCTTGCAGATGCGACATAAGCATCAAATCACGGGCCTTGTAAAATTGATTATGAAGAGCGTAATGGTAGATATGGCAGAGCATGGCCCGTGTGCGAAGAACAGTGGCGTCATGTTTGTAGAGGTAGGTGCAAAGGGTGTACAGAAGGTCACTAGCAGAAGTGGATGCCTTCTTGGCCGAAATTGCGGAGTCAAGACCTGCAGGGATTGACTTCCACGCATTCTCTTCGACAGTTGAAATGACTTGTTCAGGCTACATATTGTTAGTTTTGGTACGCAAAAGGTTGAAAGGGGGGGGGGGGGGGGGGGGGCTCATTTATGGTCGTTACCTTGAAGTACAAGTGCTCCAATCTACGCATGATAACACGATTGATAGCTTCGTCAGTAGGGATATTCTGATTTCTCTGTAGTCTTTCCAGGTATAGCTGGTTTCGGAGGATGGTTGTGTAAAGGGCACCTTCGTCGCTGAGCCTGTCAATATACTCTGTTGTGTGGGGATCAATATGTTGCAAAGATCGAGTAAGTTCGTCGTCAAGTCTATCGACAAATGAAACAACACTTCCGGGGATCTTGAGGACCTCGCCGGCAGCTGGGACAGGCTGTTTTTCATCGTCATCCCACTCCTCTGCATTCTCAATCACAACATAATCCGGGTTTGCCTCGAGAACTTCAAGCAATGTATTGAATTCTTTCTCAGCACTGTAAAGAGGCGATCAGCTTCGGGTTCAACAACGGCAGTGGAAGCGCGCTGGGGAACTCACGCTTTCCATTGTTCAGCTGACATGTAAGATAGAGCGCCATAGGTAAGGTCAAAACGGGTGGAAATGAGAGCCAAAAGGACCTTGATCTTTTGGTATGGCGTCTGAGCAACCTCATATAACCTCTCCATAACCTTGATTTGTTCGCCTTTATCCGTATTCTTCTTTCCCCTGGCCTCAATAATGCCTCGGAGGTGCTTGAAAATGCTCTCCGGGGTGTAAGTTAAAGCCTTTCCACTTCTTCCAATAGTTGAAAAACCCCTATCGTCTTCGCTGTCCTGCCCAGGCTCGACTACTTTCGATACCTTACTAATGGCTTTGGGTGCTGCCGGCTTCTTGTCCTCCTTCATAAAAGCCTCTGGATCCTTTTTGTACTCCTCGATCTCTTTCTCATAACCACGATTGTTACGCTTAAGGCGCTGCTTGATAGTATTAAGGGCACGAGCATTTGCTGCGTTCATCTTCTTAGCCGCGGCCTTGTCCTTGAGGGCCTCATTCATGAAATCCTCCAAGTCTGCAATGATCTTGATATACACCTTAGGAGCAGAAGTTTCCGTAGGCTTTGAGACAATCTTATTAAGCTTGTCGAATTCTGTAAGTTTCAGTATTAGCTGGCGTCTTTCATTACCAGAGTTGCCCCACTAAGCTACCCCGCCCCGCATTCGATGATTTGAAGAACTTAAATACGAACCTGCAGAAATGAGAACCCAATCATTGATCTTTTCTCCGTTCTCAATAAGCTTAGCAGAGGCCTCAATCTCTTCCATCCGCTTGTCCTTCTGACTTTTGACGACCCTCCGTCCATCATCTTCATCACTCTCATCATCGCTCCCACCGCCTCCAACCAAGAACCGATTACCACCGGCTTCGTCACCAGACGCTTCCTCTTCATCGGTCCCATCCTCAGAACCTGACTCGGAGGAGTGGTCTTCTACCTCGGACTCCTCCTCTTCAGAGTAAAGTTCTTCGTCGGAACTGCTGGTGTCGCTGTCGCTAAGGCCTCCATGGAAAAATCGGGACATGATGGGCTAATCGAGATGTAGAGACTGCTAGGGTCTATTTGAAGCAGCTATTTAATTTGATGGGCTCGATGCCGGCGCTCGTCAGTCGTTCGATAAATTCGATAAAGTGGGGTGCGATGGTTGTAATTCAGAATGCATGGTAAAAAAAAACCATGTGTGTGGCCAGGGCTATCCCCACTCCTAACCCTAAGAGCATCGGGTCACATCCGGATCACAAGACCATTCAGCGTAATCATTTCAGGTCATGGATACAAGTAACTTAATTCACACAATTAACAACAGTTATCACGGATCTTATGCAGGTATCTAGAATATAGATTGAAAATTCCTACATGCGATGGCTTTTGAGCAAGGGTACAAACATACATGTATATGTACTTAAATGTAGACGCATACAATACCTTGCGCTGTATCAATTTATCGCCTGCATCGATGGCATAAAGTACTGTACCTAAATCATATACACCTGTATATACTTAGTATTTTCGTACAGAGATCTATTACCTAGTATATTTAATCGATCAACTCTGATTTTCCGCTCCGTAAAATGTAGGTCTGTGTAACATCATAGCATGTCACTCGTAGGCCCAAGCATAGAAACGTATGAGAAATGGGTGTTATAAACTCGTGAAAGAAGAGATCTAAATCTTCCTCTTCCTTATACAATGATAAGACACGCTTGAGGGAAAAGGAGGTTGCGATAATGAATTACTGACAAAGAAAATGGCCCGACTGCCGCTCACATATAAGAATCATTTCCAACATCCCGATGTGTCCTCGTCTCGTTGCTCTCCGAACATGCTTAACCACACAGCCCCTTGAGGGGTGGAGAAAAAAAAAACGAGAAAAAAAAAAAAAACGGGGTGACGGTATTTTCCCTATGCAGTTCCGTGTACCCTCAACCCACCTCAGATCAGTTGGACAATTTCATCTCGGCGCACTGGTACTGCTAAGACAGACATAAGAGATCACCACACCCTCACTCATAAGATCATACACATAATAACCAAGGGAAAGGGTGTGAAGGAAAGGAAAAAACATGCTCGTTTTCACGCAGACATTCGAAAAGAATCCGTCCCACCCACTATAAGAAAATTAAACATCCAGCCCCCGAGACGTGTTTCCTAACCTATCACCAGTGCTGGTTGAAAAGACCATCTTCCAATGTCCGGTCCTCTAACGTTCTTACGACATTCTGGTTACGATATTGAGTTCCACCCCGACTTTGTCGTCGGCCCCGCCCCTGACCGGGTTGATCATCTGGGATACCACCCGGTGGTGGAGGGAAATAAGCCGGGCTGGGTTGGAGGCGAATTGGTTGAGTGGGGTCCATCATTGATGCAGCTCTCTGAATTTGCGGGGGAACACCATCTACCATAGTGGCCGAACGTTGTCTGGCAGATCTTTGGCTGTTTTGCGCGTACAGCTGCTGTGCAGGATTATACTGGTTTGATGATGGGATCTGTGCAGGTTGTTGTGCATGCTGCTGCATTATATTCAGTTGATTTCCGTATTGATTTCCGCTGGGAGTATAGGCTGGAGGAGCTACCTGCTGTTGTTGCTGAGGCTGCTGCTGAGGTTGTTGCTGAGGCTGCGAAGTATACATATTATTATACATTGCTGCAGCTGCCGTGGCAGGCGCGGCAGGCTGCGCATGACTAGATGCTTGGTAGGATGTTAATGGAACACCCGTAGAATAGCCCGTTTGTGTTTGCGCGGCATGTGCTGCCTGTTGGGCCTGCTGTTGAGCTTGCTGCTGTTTCTGGCGCGCGGCCTGTTCCGCTCTTTGTTGTGCTTCCATTGAAGACATGGGTGATTTCTGTGGCTGTGGTGTTTTGAGATTCATCGGAGGAATAAAGGGACCCGTATATTTCTGCTGGGTGATAAATGGGTGCATTTTTGCTTGTTGCGGAGACCACCGCTCCATAGGGTTGATATTGAGAAGGCCGCGGACAAAATCAATGAAAGCTATACGATTGTTCATTTCTACACGAACGCATCAGTAAATTTAAATCAGTGGTAAAGTGTATTATTGGCGACCAACCTCTTTCTTGCTCAATTGGTTTCATGCTTTTCCTGGGCATCGAATACTGTCGGATGATCTCAGGTAAAGTAGTAGCCTGGAAGTATTTTTTACTTGGCTGCTCTTTTGTTCCATGCTCCCTCGAATATTTCTCCATACTCTTAAGCTGATATGTCTTTCTCCCAAATTCGTCATGGGCTTTCTCAAAAAATTCGCCCGCTTGCTTTCCCATTTCGATCATCCACACTGGAGGCATACCAAGCATCTCGACAATTCTAGAGACTTGATTGTATTCGGAGCTGCCTGGGAACAGTGGGAGTCCCAAGAAAAGCTCTACCACAATACACCCGAGAGACCACATGTCGATAGATGATGAGTATCTGAAACTTCATGAGCGGTTTTCGAGTTAAGTATAAGATGACGACTCACGGTAAACCCAAAAGGACCTCAGGGGATCGATAAAATCGGGATTGAATATAGGTATACACTGTTTGCCGCTCATCACATGCAGAACCAAAGTCGATAACTTTGATGATGGGGCTCTCCAAACTACACGCCCACTATAATTAGATTCCACTACTTCAGAGGGGAATATGTACCACTTACTTCTTCAGCAAAATGTTTTCCGGCTTCAAGTCACAGTGAATAAGTCTAGCCTTATTAAGAAGGCATAGGGCATGTAATAGCTGTTGCGCAAAGACTCGTACGAGTGTGGTACTCAATCCTCGGAACTGATTTTGTTTGATAAGTTCATAAAGATTAACACTGAGAAGCTCGAAAACAAGGCAGAGATGCTGTCGATGAATAAAAGTGTCCTTCAGTCGTAAAATATGATGATCATCATTTTTATCCAGCTTACTGTTGAGCTAAGATTCATAACATATCATTAGCAAACCAGCTGTTTGGAGCGTTTTTTGGTGGCACGCCAGTAACTCTCACCAAGTCCAAAACAGAAACCTCCATCATACTTTGGTTAAAGTAGGCGGTCCTGTTCTTCACTACTTTGACCGCCACAACTTCCTGAGTCTTCAAATTTTGGCATTTGACTACCTGCCCAAAAGTACCCTGCCCTAGAACATCCAAGATCAGGTATCGATTTCTATTACACAGATTATAGTAAGTAGTTGCCTAACTAAAATAGTTGAATTAGGAATAGAGTAATCCTCAACCAGCGGACATACTTCGTTTCCTCAGATCCTAAAATATCATTCACGTAGAGAATATAGTCGCTGTCTTCATTATCATAGCCATCGTTCTTCACGCCCTTACTTGGCTTAGTCAAAACTCGCCGAGGATTCCGTGATGACTCGTATTTGAAGTTAGGATTACATATCCGGTATGTCGCAGGAAGATAGCTTGTCAAAGCTTGCAACGGCTATTTATCTAACATGTTAGAATAGCTGGAAGAATTTCATATCATGGGGATCAAATATATTTAACTTACGCTGATGAATCCGCCTTCGGGGTTTGCTCGTCTGAAAGCAGGTTGGGAGTTTGTTTGTGGGTTCAAATCATTAAGATTGGTTACTCGTGAAAACCTTGGCGGTGGGTCTCTAGGAGGCGATTGGTGACGAGATAGCTGGTCAAACATGGAACCTTGGGGTCCCGTCGCGGTATGCTGCGGATAATAACCACCGCGCCCACCATTTGGGTCTGGATCTTTAATCCGAGATTAGCATGGGAAACTTAATAAGGATTATTAACGGGCGCAGAAACCTGAAGCAGATTGTTGTTGCTGTAATGGGTGTTGATAACTTTGCATTGATGGTGGAGCGCTCGTTCGAGGAGATGCAGAGGCATTTGGAGTATAATAAGATCCCGAATTATTGGAATAATTTGGCCTCGAAGGGGATTGTCGGGACTGATAAGCTGGCATCTGGGTGTAGCTTGCTTGCTGTACTGTATGCCCAGTGGGAGGGGCAGCAGTATACGCAGCCTGTGAACTCGAACTAGCGTTCATAGGAGAATATCTTTGGGAAGCTGAGGATTCCTCAGAACCCAGATAAGGTTGCCGGGAACCCTGTGCAGCCTGCTGGTATTTTGTCCTGCTGTATGGATCGGCATCCTGCATTTGCACATCCATATTATAGTCCGGATTATTTTCAAGTCGAGTGGTTGGCGAGGTCACTGCTGACAAGTTACCTGATGTTCCATGATAAGCTTGATATGGTTGTTGAGTTGCCGCCGCAGCCCCTCCAGATGCTGCCATTGTAGTTAATTGTGGCGGTTGCTGGCCTGGGTTGAGATCTCGGGGGTGTTGTCCAGAAGAGCTACCCTGTTGTAGCACATTTGATGGGTATCTTTGTTGACGGTTTGCAGAAGAGTCTCCAGAGAAAGCTGTCCAGGAATCCATGATGTTAAAATGATCAGTAGATTCGCTTCGCGGTAAAGAAGGAGACAGTACAGCGGGACTGCCCGGAGGTCTCTTCGGCGCTGAATGGGTCGACTGCGCTGTTGTTGATATAGAAACGGCGACGGAACCGACCAAACCTCGAAACTAGCTACACTTCACTCAGTAAGAACGTAGGCAAACGAGTTGACGGAGACGAAGTCTGGGCCTCCAAATTGGCCCACTACGGCGTCAATATCAGAAACGGGTTTCGAGGACGGGTTTTTCTTGCAACGAGTGGTGCGTTGGAGGGGTGATGTTGCTTGAGGTCGGTCGGTGGACTGTTGGGCTGAGGTACGTTGGCTGGTCGTTGTTGGCGGGGAAGCAAGTGCAAACGCGGCGGTCGCAACGTACAGGGGAGTCTTCGCCAAAAGGAGGGGAGGGAGCTTCAAGGAGGAGAAAGAAAAAAAAACATGTATGGACGTCAGAATGAAGGGGGAGTGGGGTGGAAATGCGAGGGGGGGGAATAAGGGGGGGGGAAAAAAACCATAAATGACCAATCCAACAAGCAAATATGGGTTTATTGGCAGGCACTGGAATATGAGGGACGCCGCAACATGTTGGAAAAATTATGCTGGAGCCCAAGAGAGAGCTGTACCGGCAACAGAAACTTTGAAATAATTGAGACTGGTAGTGGCTTAAATCAAGGCATGGGTATGATACTACAATGATTGCCCACAAGTAGGACTTCATACTACAATACTCTAGGCCGTTTAATAATCAGGGTAGGCACCTATGTACAATACCATAAATGTACTTGTAGGTACATGTATGTGTAATGGGGTTAATTGAGATCAAACTGTTCTTGGTGTACCTATCGTTTTCTTAGACTAACTTTTCCTGATCGATCTCAGCTACGTTTATATAATACATACTACATAATATCAAAACAGAATGACCTAGATAGGTAGATTTATATTACTGCATGTGGTATAAAGCCCTCTTCTAATCCATCTATGTTGTAGAATAGATATTCTACCTGGAGTAGATGACCAAAAGTAGAATCGCAAATTATTCTACATCTACAAGTACGTACATGTCGGTATCGTTTGTTGCCAAGATCACCTTGAGTCAACACTGGCATCATTCCTTTCACGTGATCCGCCTACTTACGCCCGCGTCTTCTTTGGCTCAACACGTCTTCTAGATCAACATCTCACAACGGATATCTAACAAGTATTTCCCACAAATAAGTTGATCTCTATAGAAATTTAACCATTGATATCTCACCGGGAGTTCCGCAGGACCCGAAGGCCAAAGGACTTCCTCACATCCTCTACTAGACCTCCTATTCAGGTTTCTCGCCTGAGTCCATCAAGCTCAGGCTCATCTCCTATATCTGAAATAGAAACAGATCATCAAATAGTAGACATGTCTCAGGCCGGTATTCACAGCAAAATATCACAGGTCCTAGGAGATGTTGCGAATTTAGAAAGCTCGGGACTTATTGCTCAGGCCGTGGACCAGGAAGTTCTAGAGAAGGAAATTACTTTAAAGGTAATCTTGACGTACACTTATCTATATGAGCTTGTAAAGGTCACCAACTGATAAGTTTTCATGTATGTATATAGGCAGACCAGGCGATTGCTGGCAGAGAGAATGAGCTTGATGAGAAACGATTAGAAAAGGCCAACAATGAAAAAGAGTATATACTGATCGTTTAGAATACTTTCAATATTTAAACTAAAACAAATGCAGGAAACTTGTGTATTCCCTTGGAAGGGTTCACGAAAAGCTCAATCATACGAGAACGAAGCACAGTGAAAAGCCAGAACTTCGTGTACAGATCATGGAGCTCCAAGAGAAGACAGATGCACTCGATCATGATATAGCAGACATAAAAGCTCGTATTAGTGCCCGCCATAGCAAAGTGGCTGGACTTTTAACTGCTCCAATTTTAGCAGCTGCTGAAAGATTGCCTACTGAAACCGAAAGAGAATTCCTTATCAGTGAGTTTTAAGCTATGAAATATTAATGACTACTAACGAACGTTTTAGGAACTGGTAAAATTACGCCATTTGCGCAAGTACCCGGCGCGGAGAGGTCCAATTTAGACATCAAGAGGGACGTTGATGGCTCTCTCTCCAATTCGATGGCTAAGATGTCACATCAGAATCTGAGAAGACCGGGTTTTCAAGAAGATATATCTCTTGACTATGAGGAGAGTTCAGAAGAGGAAGATGAAATACCAAAAAAGCGCCGCCGTTTAGAAATCGCTAGAGTCAATGCCACAGAATCCGAGGATTTTGAATCCATCTCACAAAATACTTCCAGAAAACTCAAGATACGTGAAGCATCCTCACACAGCGAAGACGATTACTACTCACCTGGGCACCCCAAAAAGGTAAAGAAACATCATCGGAAGAGACTCGATAAGGATGAAGATAATTTTACTGTAACTGGGGGCGTGAGTGAGGATCGTACAGATGATGATGATGATGATGACGATGACGATGATGGTGATGGTGATTATATTGTTGAGGAGGAAGCCGCAACGATGAAGCTCAGAAAGAGAAAAGCAAAGTCAGTAGAGGTAGATGACTTGCAAAAATTAGATGATGGAGACGAGAAGTACTATCAGAAAAGACTGAAGAAGTGGTCAGTTTCACGGCGCACGGCTAGGAATCGAGAAAATAAATCGAACGGTGGTACCGCCAAAGGCTTAAACCCTAATCCCCAGCTTGAGGAATGGTATATGCCCCATCCAAACAAGGCAGATGCAGTATTTAGTGGGGGGTTCAAGATACCAGGAGACATATTCCCTTCCCTCTTCGATTATCAAAAAATTGGCGTACAATGGCTTTGGGAGCTCCACGCTCAAGATGCCGGTGGAATTATCGGTGATGAAATGGGACTTGGAAAAACCATTCAGATAATCTCCTTTATTGCGGGTCTACATCATAGCAATATGTTACGAAAACCAGTACTCATAGTTGCCCCGGCTACCGTCCTAAAACAATGGGCGAATGAGTTTCATCTTTGGTGGCCACCGCTCAGGGTGTCCATTCTTCACAGTAGTGGAAGTGGAATGCTGAATGTTAAACAAGAAGATTCTGATGAACTTCTCGAGGAAGAAAAATCATTTTCGGGGAGAAAGTCTCAAGTAGGAGCAAGAAAGATTGTCAGCAAAGTTTTTGATAAAGGTCTTTTTTTTCTTGCCATTTATCACCCATAAATGATGCCACTGACTTATCTCTAGGACATGTTCTTATTACGACTTATGCTGGACTCAAGAGTTATGGAGATTTGCTACTAAATGAGGAATGGGAATATGCAATTCTCGACGAAGGACACAAGATTCGTAACCCCAACGCTGAGATATCGCTCTCATGCAAAAAACTCAAGGTGAATACCAAATATTCCTTAAACCCACCATCTACTAAAAAATTCAAAGACTCGTCACCGGATAATCCTTTCCGGAACCCCTCTACAAAATAACCTATCCGAGCTTTGGAGTCTCTTTGATTTCGTTTTCCCAGGTCGTCTTGGGACTTTACCTATTTTCCAGAACGAGTTCGCGACACCAATTAAGATGGGCGGTTACGCCAATGCCTCAAATGTCCAGGTTCAAACTGCCTATAAATGTGCAGTTGTTCTACGTGAACTTATCAGTCCCTACCTGCTGCGCCGACTCAAAGTTGATGTTGCTGCAGATCTACCAAGCAAAAGTGAGCTTGTTCTATTTTGTAAACTGACAAAAATACAAAAAGATGAGTACGAAAAGTTTCTGGAAAGCAAGCAATGTGCGCAAATTTTGGACGGGAAACTAAACAGTTTGTTCGGAATCGATATACTGAGAAAGATATGTAACCACCCAGATCTGGTGGATCGGGCTACACTTATGCACGCAAAAGACTATGAGTATGGGAAAGGCGCATATTCTGGAAAAATGCAGATTACAAAATCACTCCTGCAACTTTGGAAACAGCAAGGCCATCGTACACTCCTGTTTGCACAAACACGTCAAATGCTTGATATTCTAGAACACTTCGTCAAGAGCTTTCAAGACTTCAATTATCGGCGTATGGACGGCAATACTGCAATTCAACATCGACAGGAACTTGTCGATGAGTTTAATAGAGACACTAGTATCGACGTCTTCTTACTAACCACAAAAGTTGGTGGTTTGGGGGTTAACCTTACTGGTGCAGATAGAGTTGTCATTTTTGATCCAGATTGGTATGTCCTGATGAATAAAACGAATGTTTTTATTTGACTAATCAGGGATGTAATTGAAGGAATCCCTCGACGGACATGCAAGCCCGAGAGAGGGCTTGGAGACTTGGGCAGAAAAAGTCAGTCACCATCTACAGGCTATTAACCGCAGGAACAATTGAAGAAAAAATATACCATCGGCAGATTTACAAACAGCATCTGGCATTGAAAGTTCTTACTGATCCAAATCAGAAGCGGTTTTTTAAAGTCCGTACATATACATAGTACATGATTTCTTCGTGAATTGTGTATGCTAATTTCTAATACAGGCGGATGACTTGCATGACTTGTTCAAACTCGGTGACTCGACTGTTGGGACTGAGACGGGGAATATGTTCCGGGGTGCCGAGAAGATATATGGCGAGGGTATCTCTTCAGATACCACAGCGGCGGCACCAGAAGAAAACGACGATGACCCAATGGAACTGCGGAAGATTGCAGGAGTGGCTGCACTGGAAAATTTGTATGTATCTTCTGACAACTATATGTACCTACATGTAGTTTCTTATCTCTAACCGTGAAATTCAGTTCCAACGACGCTAGCGAGGAAAATATTGCCAATCAAGATAAAACCGACGAAATGCGGTTCATGGAAAGCATCTTCGGGGGCTCTGGCGTCCTTAGTGCTCTAGAGCACGACACTGTGATGAATGCCTCCAATACACAAGTTAATTTTGCAGAAAAACAGGCCACAAAGGTCGCTGAAGCCGCCGCAAAGGCACTGCGTGAATCTATCAGGACAACCCAAGCCGCATCTATTGGAACTGTAACGTGGACTGGGAAATTTGGCAGTGCTGGAAAGGAGGAAAATAAAGAATTGCCCGTCATCCCTACAGCAGCGGGTCTGTTGGCTACTATGCGGAGAAGAAATAACGCTACTAGCGGAGGTGGCACTAGCTCTAACTCAAATTCAAGGTCTGGAAGTAGAAACCCCAGTGTAAAACCCATTATTTCATCGCCACGGCAGTATCACCAAAAGGAGGACGGATTGATTACGAGGTTGCGAGAATATATGAGAGATAATGGTGGGAATGCAACCTCTGTAGAAATCTCTGGATTTGCAAAAGGGGTGATTGAAGCTGGAGACAAGCAGAGGATGGACGAATTCAGGCACATGTTGAAGGAAATAGCAATACTAAAGAAACAAGACAGAACTTGGAGCCTAAAAAAAGAGTTTATGTGATGAGGAGCGAAGGATGTTACGAAATGTCCTCATGTTTTTATAGTATTGCATCTATTTTATCTTGGTTTTTTTTTTTTAGTTTTTTTTTTTTTTTTAAACACATCCCGCAAGGGATACTATGGTGCCCCCAGTCTTAAAGGTAACATGAGAAAAACGCCAAGTCTCGAATAATTTTTCAACCACGATTGATATTAAAAATATGGAAAGAGAAAAGCTGGATACCATGATGAAGAAGAGTTTGTCTTTCCAGATTTTTAATATCAATCGTGGTTGAAAAGTTATTCGAGACTTGGCGTTTTTCTCATTTTACCTTTAAGACTGGGTGAACCATATGTGTAGAAATAATCGGTTCGTTTTTTTCATATATTCTCAAGGAAAATTCGATAATAAGTTCTTCCTCTTGACCTTGTGACATTAATGTTATGGTTTGATATGCTAAATTTACGAACTAAAGCGATCTCATCTAGTTCGCATACCGCAGAATCTCAGGAATAACGAATCGAACTGGGCTGGAATACCACTTACCCATTGGTCAAGACGACCAAAAGTTACGCTTTGGGTTTGTCGGATTGAGGCTCAACAAGCATTTGACCAATCCGAAGCCCAATATTCCCAGTCCAGTCCGATTCGTTATTCCTGAGATTTTGCGGTACATGTAGCTTTGGGGAGAAAAGTAACTGGATAACACCAAGGTTCCAGCTCACACTACTGATAGGACTTCAAATGTCATAAGTTTATCATGATATTAAAGATGGTGTTGTGTGTCTTGTCGTTGTCAGCTTCGTGTTTTGCTTTTCTTGTACTCGTAAGTTCATAGCGTTTCCGAACACGACCAATATTGCATGACATACAAGAAGGTGGATTTAGCGCTTTTTAATATGGTATGCAATAGCAGTCGTGTTCGGAAACGTCATGAATTTATGAGTACACAGTAGAGTACGGATCACGGAAGCCTAAAAATAGCCCAAGCAACCCCTGGCAGCGAAAAACTGGCTTAAAGCGATCAGTGCCTGTGCAGCGTCCTCCCGTCCTTCCAGGGTCTCAGGGAAGCTCTTTCCAGGACAGGCACTTCTCTTGCTTTCTTATTCGTTGGTTGCATTGATCCCCTCCTTTCTCTGTCTGTCACTTTCCTCTGCTTGTGATCTCTCCTCCAGTCCTTCAGCTCGCTTGTTTGATCGATCAATCTTTTGTTGTTCTGTTTATTTTCACTCGTTTCGTTGTTTTGATACCCGTGAACAATTACTGTGGATAGAAGTCAAATCGGTTTTTTTCCCCTTCTTTTTGCCTACTCTGCCACCTGAATCCCGTCCCGGCTTCTCCAGTCTTGGAAACGCAGGGGATTTGACAGACGGTTACATTCTTCACTTACCTGACAGTCGCTTTTCTCCTCTCCCACCCTTAGTCTCGTTCTCATACTCACTCGCTTTTGTCTTCTCGTCACGTTAATTACCCCCTTGATACTCATTCTGGGTAAGGGAGTTTCCATACGAACAAAATCAACTTGAATCCTATTCCGTGCCATCGTTCAACATGCGAAATTTCCAATTAATTTTCGGCCTCGCACTCTCGTTCGTAGCCCTGTCGGCGTCAGCTCACCCAGATGCATCTGTTCCAAATGCGTTGATGCCTCGACAAGGTGTGTTTTTGAGCCCATCGTTGACTTGTATCTTTGTTTACCAACACTTTATCCTAATCTGTTTACTACAACCGCAGCCACTGGAGCCCCTACTGCCGGCTCAGGAGATGTGGTGCAAGGCGATGTCGATGCAACCCCCGTAGACACCACTGAGCAGAGCAGCGCTTCCGCAACAGAAGAAGCAAATCCTGTGACAACAACCGATAAAAATGGCTCGACTATCACTGTCGCCCCTTCGACCACAGCCAAGGCGTCAGGGAAATCATCCTCTACCAAAACAAAGAAGATCTCAGCAGATGCGCAAGCAGGTGGTGTGGCTATGAAAACTCCGGGTGTGTATGATGGATACCAGATCTACAAGATTGGTGACCCGGTTACATTCGTCTGGAATTATACCAGTCTTCAGGTTGCCCCGACTGCAATAAATGTTCAGGCATACTGTACCGACGGTGCACAGTACTTTCCTATTATGATGAACGCGAGTGCGGATACAACGGAAGCCATTTGGGACACTGAAGCATATCAGAGTTCAGCTTTGTCGAAGCTCCCTGTGTAAGTGCCCTATCTATATGAGGTTGATATATTAGTGGACTAATATTTGGTAATCGTAGCGCGACATACACTCTCTTCATTTATGACAATGCATATGCTCCTACTGCAGTCGCCTCTCCAGGACATTTAGGGCCATATTCAGGACTTACCTTCGGGATGTACACTCCTAAGCCTGCTGTTCCTCTTGCCAGTATGTAATTCTTTTCATTTGCCCATCTCACCTTTTATACATCACGCTGACAGAATTCTCCCAGGCTTTGAATGTGCCACCTGTGATCCCAATTCTGCAAGTACCATGGACATGAGGGCGCTTGGCTTTCTTGTCGGTATGGGATTGGTCACTGCTTTGAGTTTCACGTGGTTTGTGGCAGGTGTGTTGTAAAACACAGTATGTGAATGGATTATTGCTTTAGCTCGAAGAATTATACCCGGAAGCTCAACCCTCGAATCGCTATTTTACTGCGGGGGTATCATGAGTCCTAGGGTTCTATTTTTTTTTTTACTCTGGAGTTTCTTTCCTTACTCTCTCGCATCGGGATTTGGTACTAATGAAATACTTTTTTTCTATACCTTTTTTTCGACTCCAAATGTAATTGGGACTTCTTCTTTTTATTATCATTATTATTAACGCTAGGTTATTCACGACGTGGAGTGAATGATTGCGGGCTACGAACTTGTTGGATGGGAAGAGGAGGAGTGCTATTTTAAAATCTGCGTAAGATTGGAGGACGATTTGCTCAATACGTTACTCTTTTGTTCTAGTATTGCTATAATATTGGATTTTTTCTACCAGGGTGATGGGGTACTTTTATTTTGCCATAACTTTATTCCGGGTTGTATATGTCCGACTTTTTTTTTTTTTTTTTTGAGTTAAAGGGTGTATGATGCCAGTAAATAGATTTTTCTCTGTTTTATCCATGATCACTTCAAAAGTGAACCACGTATCATTGACCCCACGAAATCACTACAGATTATTTATCAACGTTTTGCTTTGGCCACAGCTGCTCTCTAGTACTAGTAAACTAGCCAACCATCCTTGGCGCACAAATATCATTTCTAGCCACCAACACACATGGGCGAGTGGTCTAACGGTTTAGCCCTCGCCAAAGAACACCGCGAGGTTTAGCCCTGCTTTCGATCACAGAAGGCCAGGGTTCGACCCAGGGGTGGGAGTAGTGCCAGTTCGTCCCGGAACCGCACAGTACTTTTTGTTCTTTTTTTGTGTATGAAAGAAGAGATACTATAACCACCCAAAATGTACCGCTTGGGGTATTTTTTTAATTTGATAATAGTGCGCAATACCCCCCAGTATAAAGCCGCAGTTGAATTTGACATTCCGTGGCATTTGAGCCCGTTGCCACGCAGAGGTCAGGGTTAGGTTCCGCTCTTGGCCAATCAGAGGGCTAGTAGGTTCGCAGAATTAAGGGCAGTACATATTAGATGGGGCTGTAATACTACATGTAATCATTTTTGCCAATGATTTATTTCCCGGCGGTCCTGCTTAGCGGGGCATTTTGGAGCTGATCATTTAGAATAATCGCATGATTATGGTTGACGTTGTTAACGTTCTCGACGTTATCGGGTCCCAATCTTATCTAAAGTAAATAGCTAAGCTCTTGGCAGGGGACGTGTTCTTCCTACGCGTGAGTTAAGGGAACGCGAATTTTGTTGATTCAACCCGGACACCACTCCTGGCAACAGCGTGAATGATTCCAAATCACTCAGTCACAAACTCACTTAATTAGACACGCAGGATATTTCAAAATAACCTCCGTGATCTCTATTGAAGTGGAACAGAGTTAGACCCGGATATCCGCTCTACGACCTTACGACCGTGTTCCGTCCAACACGCAAAGATGGAGCGCTCCCGCCGCACTGGCACAAAACGCACCCCACACGAGAAATTTGCTGAATTTCGTGAGCTCAAGAAATCGGGTAAAACGCGCGCCTCTACATATGAGGTTGAGGAGGAAGAGGATCTATATGTGGAGGTTGACGAGGATGAGTATAAGAAAGTTGTCCGCGACAGGCTGGCACAGGATGACTTTGTCGTCGACGACAATGGCGAGGGATACATGGATAATGGTATGGACGATTGGGGAGATGAGGGGAGAAGGGAAGGGAGCTATGATGAGGAGAGTGATGAGGAGGCTGGGAAGAAGGGAAAAGGCAAGAGCGCAAAGAAGAAGCGTGAGGATGAAGCAAAGAGAAAGATGGAGAGAGATAAGGATATCACTAAATACTTCAGTTCTGCAAATGTTGTGCCATCTGTCAGGCCAAAGAAGGTATGTAGCGGCGGAACTCTTGTACCCACCTGTCTATTTGCTAATCAGCACTCTATGGTACAGCCAATAGCTACGGAAGAGGATAAAGATTTCATGAACTCTCTGCTCGAAGAATTTAATAGTGAACTTCCTAACAATATATCATCCTCTAAACGCACCCGAGAGGAGCCCTCGATTCGTAAAACCCGCCGCCTCTCCCCCGCTTTAGGAGACAGGAAGAAACCTTCTGGCCTCAACAAATCTGCCAATAATGACACGAGACCTTCTATCCCGAGTTCCCCCCCTGCAATGCGTGTATTTGACGACGAGGACGATGAATATGGCGCCCCCATCGCCGATGACGATATACTCATGTCCGACGCCCAGATCCCGCCTTCTTCTCCTCTGGCAGGCACAAAACAGCAAAAAAAAGTTACTTTTAAACAGGAAGAAGAAGAAGAAGAAGACTCCGATGATGATTACCTCGCGATTGCAGAAATAAAGGGGAACAAAGGGGCTAGATCAGAAGCGATAAATATATCTGCTTCGAGACCTTCGCTCATGAGGGCTCCAGAGCCGAAACACGCGGCTAGCACTCCACGGAAGCCAATTGCTATTGATTCGTCTGCGTGGAAGAATGTGACAGGGAGCTTGAATGTTATGAGCTCACCACAAGTGGAGAATACCAAATACGGGAAGCTAGCGGCTGAAGATGTTTTAGAGGAGGATGGAAGTTTGAAGATATTTTGGCTGGATTACACAGAGGTTTCGGGGTCCCTATGTCTTTTTGGAAAAGTCATGGATAAAGGGACCAATAAATATATCAGCGCGTTCTTGAAGATTGATGGGATTCAGAGGAGTCTATTCTTTTTACCAAAAGACAACGAAGAGATCGAAATGACTGATGTTTACGACGAAGTCACTTCCATATTGGACAAAAATCGCATCACAGAATATAGGTCTAAATCCACTTCCCGAAAATATGCATTCGAACTTGCTGGAATCCCAAGGGAAGGTGATTACCTCAAAGTACAGTATTCATATAATCAACCGGCGCTGCCACAGAAGCTTAGGGGCAACACCTTCTCACACGTTTTCGGTACCAATACCTCACTATTTGAACAGTTTGTCCTCTGCAGAAACGTAATGGGGCCCTGTTGGCTCAGAGTTGAAGGTGGGGACTTCAGCGCTGTTCAGAATGCGTCGTGGTGCAAACTAGAAGTCCAAGTCGAGAAACCCACGCAAATCACGGTGTTGGGCGATGATTCTTCAGAGTCACCCCCACTCACACTCATGAGTATCGCTTTAAGGACACATATGAATGTAAAGGAGAACAAGCAAGAGATCATTGCTATCTCTTGTAGAATTTACGAAAACGTCAGTCTTACTGATGCTGCATCGCCGGAGACACTACCATGTCAGACTTTCTCGATAGTCAGGCCTATTAACGGGGTTTTCCCCCATGGATTCGAGGAAGCTGCAGAGCGACACCGGGGAACGATTAGACAAGAAAAGACGGAGAATATGTTGCTCTCTTTATTCTTGGCAAAACTGCAGCAGGCCGACCCGGACGTGTTGATGGGACATCAGCTTGAGAGTGTGGATTATAGCATTCTCCTACATCGCATGAAAGAGCGAAAAACTCCAAATTGGCACAGAATTGGAAGGATGAAGAGAATGTCCTGGCCGCAATACGGAGGGAAAATGGCAGGGAGCTTTTTCGCAGAACGGCAACTTGTCTCAGGACGATTAATGTGTGATCTTGCGAATGACCTTGGAAAATCACTTCTTATTAAATGCCAGTCTTGGAGTCTTACCGAGATCTGCAAACTTGTTCTTTCAGAGAAACGGCAGGAACTGGATAACGAGGAGGCACTTAGGACTTGGGCATCGAACGGGGAAGGATTGCTTGATTACGTGCTACACTGTGAGGCGGATACATACTTCATTGCGGCTGTTGCACTCAAGATCCAAATGTTACCACTTACTAAACAACTCACTAACCTCGCTGGTAACTCATGGGCCCGTACACTTAGTGGAACCCGTGCAGAACGAAACGAGTACATTCTTCTCCATGAATTCTACCGCAACAAATTCGTCTGTCCCGATAAAGACTCTAGCAAGGGTAACAAAGCCATCAAAGCCGATGAGGAGGAAGGAGGTGTAGATGGAGAAGCTGCCCCCGAAAAAAAGAAGGATAAATACAAGGGCGGTCTGGTTTTCGAGCCTGAGAAAGGGCTGTACGACAAATTTATCTTAGTCATGGACTTCAACTCACTATATCCTAGCATCATCCAGGAATACAACATCTGTTTCACTACTGTCGAGAGGAATGATGATGATGAGGATAAGGTTCCCGAAGTCCCAGAGGAACAAGCATTAGGAATTTTGCCGAAGTTGATTAGTACATTAGTACAAAGGAGACGGCAAGTCAAAAATTTAATGAAGGATAAAGGCGCCACAGCGGTGCAGAAGTCACAGGTTTGTTTTCTGGCGTTAGCCGCAGAGGATATAGCTGATTAGGGAATAGTGGGATATCAAACAACAAGCACTGAAGTTGACGGCCAACTCTATGTATGGTTGTCTGGGTTATACCCGCTCACGGTTTTATGCACGTCCTTTAGCCATGCTCACCACATTCAAAGGTCGTGAGATTTTACGTGCAACAAAGGAACTGGCAGAGTCAATGTCGCTGCGAGTTATTTATGGTGATACTGACTCCGTCATGATCAATACCAACGTAGACAATTATAGTGATGCCATAGAAATTGGAAATAAGTTTAAAAAGAAGGTCAATGAACGGTACAGGCTGCTAGAGATCGATATTGACAACATCTTCCAAAGACTGCTACTACATGCGAAGAAGAAGTATGCAGCTATTAATTACGTGGAAATCAACGGGAAGCTAGATACGAAACTGGAGGTAAAGGGATTGGATATGCGAAGACGAGAATTCTGTCAATTGTCAAAAGAGGTTTCCTCGTAAGTTCATCTGGCTTAAAAATGGAGTGACCTGATACTAATGAGGAGATAGACATATTTTAAACGAAATATTTTCGGGGGATGAAACGGAGATTGTTGTGGAGAAAATTCACGATTACCTCCGTGATCTTGCAGC